GGAGCGGAGGGAGGTGGGGAGGGGGATTGCAGTGGAATGGAGTGCAATCGACTGCAAGCGATTCGATTGGGATTTTCGATCGTCGATCGTTGATCGTCGATCGTCCATCCTCGATCGTGGATTGTTCATTTTAGATCGTCGGCGAAAGGGAGGGCGGAGGCTCCGGGGGCTGGGCGGCCAAGGGGGGGAGGGGGGGGGGCTTCCAAGGCCCCCCCCCCTTTGGCACAAAGGGGGGGAGGGGGGGGGAGCTTCCAGCAGAGCGTCTCCAAGGGAGGGGGGGGGGGGGGTAGCTTCAGCACCCCCCTCCCTTTGGAAAGGGGGGTAAGGGGGGGGTAGCTTCCGGGGCGGCCAAAGGGGGGGGGGAGGTGGGTAGCTTCCAAGCACCCCCCCCCCTTTGCACGAAAGGGGGGGAGGGGGGGGGTAGCTTCCAGCAGGGCAGCGCCAAGGGAGGGGGGGGGTAGCTTAAGCACCATCCCCCCTTTGGAAAGGGGGGGAGGGGGGGGGTAGCTTCCGGGGAGGGCCCAAGGGGGGAGGGGGGGGTAGCTGTAAGCCCCCCCCCTTGCAAAAAAAAGGGGGGGAGGGGGGGGGGTGCTTCCAACAAGGGCGGCTCAAGGGAGGGGGGGGTAGCTTAAGCCTAGCCCCCCCTCCCCTTTGCTCGGGCCCTGCGGGCGCGCTCTCTCCTAATTAGGGTCCCCCCCTCAGGAGGCCAAAATGGGGCCAAAACCATAGTAAAACCAATGATTCTGGCTTTCTCGCCGAGGCCGTTTTGGACGCTCCGACACCTCGCGAAACCCCCTGTCCAGGTCCATGGGGAGGGGGTATGGGGAGGGGTCAAGACTCCCTCCCCGCCCGCAAGCTGTCTCGATCACTCCCACCCGCCCTCCAAACACATACGTAGCACCCGAGCCTGGCCCGAGCCGCAGCATTTTCCGCAGTCGTCTTTGGATGGGGAGCTACTGGGGGCGAATCCGCCGCCGCCGCCGCCGCCGCCTCCGCCGCCGCCGCCGCCCGCCGCCGCCGGCGCCGCGCCGCCGCCGCCGCCGCCGCCGTCCGCCGCCGCCACCGCGCGCCGCCCGCCGCCGCCGCCGCCGCGTCGCAGCCGCGCCGCCGCGCCGCCGCCGCCGCCGCCGCCGCCGCCGCCTCCGCTGCCGAATCGCCGCCGCCGCAGCCGCTGCCGCCGCAGCTGCTGCCGCCACCGCTGCCGCCGCCGCGGCCCCAGCGCCGCCCCCGCCGCCGCCGCCACCGCCGCCGCCACCGCCGCAGCCGCCGCAGCCGCTGCCCCCGCCGCAGCCGCCGCAGCCGCTGCCGCCGCTGCCGCCGCCGCCGCCGCCGCCGCCGCCAAGTGTACTCTGTATTGTTTGACAGGGATGGTGGGGGGAGGCTGCATCGGGTTCGTTGCGCATGCTCCGAATTAGGAGGCAGGGTCTGTTTTGCATTCTTTTTTTACGAGGGATGGTGGGGAGGGGGCCCGCATTGACCCTGGTTGGCTCCCAGTCGCCTGGGGGAGGGGGTTCTTAATAGGGAACAGTGGTAAACCCCTCCCCGAAGGGAAGAAAGAGGGGTGGAAGAGGAAACTCCCTAAACCACCGACGCCCAGAGGGCTGTGTGTTTTTTTCGCACCGAGTTAGAGCCTGGGTCGAATATGCTTTCCGAGGGGGTCCCGCACGAAACGCTGACTTTTCGATCGTTTCGAACCGACTTTTTAATGTTTCGAACCGGCTTGCGATCTTGGTTCGAGCCTTTTCGGGGAGGACGCTCCACGCGCTTCGCCGTTTTCGAACCACCCGCCCTGTGTAGCTTTTTTAGAACTTAAGTTGGGGTTACAAGCCCGAGGTTGCCCGCCCCCCCGCTGGCACAGCTCCACTCCCGTCACACTGTGCCAGGCTTCGCGCGCCTAAGAGGGCACCTCTGGTCCACGCTGCGCCAGCGCGTCAAACATGGGGCGATCTTTTATCACGGCACAGTGCTCTTGGTTTCTTTTTTGGGTTTTTTGGAGCCTCCTTGAGGGCCTCGGAGGCTGTCTCGAAGCGATCTCGGGGCCCAAGAGTTGGCGATCTGAAGACAGCAGAACCGATAATGTTGAAATCGCGGAGACACGAGTATTTGTTTCAATGATGTCTGGCTTCTTGGGCCGACTGCGGGGCCTCCAAGACGGCCAACGAGGCCACCCTAAGAGTGCCGCAGGGCAGCCCCATGAGACAATCGAAAGGCATGTTGGAAGTTAGGATTCCGAACTGAGCCCGCCAGGACTTTCGGAAAAGTCATGGAGCGATCCCCAAGGGCGACAAAAAGCGCCCGGGAGCGCCCAAGAATTCCCGGAAGCCGAGGCCTTGGGCTTGGGCCCGTGAGAAGCCTGCAGACCTCTCAGCAGTGAGAGTTCGAGAGGGCCCGAGGCCGCTTCGCTCCACACCTCCCGCCCCGTCGGAGGGCATGTTCTTGTCCAGCGCGTATGCACGCGGAGTTTTGGCAGCGAGGCCCGCCTCCTGTTTGTTCCTCCCCCCGCTGTCTTCTCGCTGCCTTCCCTCCCCCCTCCTGGTGCGCAGCTCGCTCGTGGCCCGCGTGCTGCGACCTTTGGACGGCGTCCGGCGTCTCCCGGCGCGCTCGCGATCAAAAAAAAACGTGCACGCGGAGTCAGTCACGCAGCCCTTGGCTCCAGGGTCGGTCACCCTGGCCTGGCGGCAAGTCGGGCATGCCCCTCTACAGGAGGAGAAGACAAACACAGTCAAGACATAGTCTGGGCATGATTTCTCTATATTATTTGTGCCTCCTTCCATTTGTCGGACTCTTTCCAAGGTTCTTCCGAAATCCCCTGTGGGAGGCCATGCCCGACGTAAGCCTCGCCGCGCGCCGCGGCCTGCCAGCGCCAAGAGGCATGGCGGGGCTCTGCGGGGCCCCCCCCTGCGCTGGCGCAGCGCCCCGCTGGTTCGCCGTGCCGCCGGCTCCGCCCGCGGGCCGTGGCCGTTACTTGGCCCTCATGTTCGGGTGCCACTCGTGGGCTGTCAACTTCAGCATCGGCCCTGGCGCGTCTGTGGTGGGACGCGATTTTCCACCACCAATGCCATAAGTAGGGGGGGGAGGAGGAGGAGAAGGAGGAGAAGGACCTCCCCCTCCTCCCTTCTCCCGCAGTCCTGCCTGTGGTCCATGGTAGCGGTTGTGGGAAATCGGCCCATCAAACACCCGCCGGCTCCGGCACAATCCTTTACAATCCGGCTTAATCCCGTGTGCTCTGGCTAGATGTGGGGTTTCATGTTTCATGTTGGCCAAGCTGGCCAAACGTTTTGGGCCCCTTCATCGGGAGCAGTAGCGCTTCATCGTCGGCACCGCGAAGACCTCCCAGGAGTGGCTTCCTAACCCAGGCCCTCCGCGAACCCTGGAGGCCGTGCGGCAGGGCAAAGTCCGCGCGCAGTCGCCGCGGGGACGGCGCTGTGCTCCGCGGCGGCAGCGGCCCGCGGGGCCTGGCGCCGCCGGGTGCGCCGCAGGCGGAGAGCCCGCGAGGGCGCCTGGGACGAGTCGCCCGCGCCGGCGGCCACCAGGGCCATCAAGGGCGGAGGACGCGGAGAGGTCGGCTACACGCAAGAGCGAAGTCGGGCATGCCCCTCACAGGAGGAACAAAGAATGGTCTGGGTACGAGTTTGCGACTCTTCTGGACTTTTTGTGGAATATTGTTCGACTATATGCTGACTGTTCTGCCAGAGTCCGCCTGTAGGAGGACGTGCCCGACCTGACGCGCGAGTGATCCTTCGCCGCAGGGGCCTTCGGTGCGCGGCTCTCGGGGGGCTCGCGGGGGCCAAGTCCGAGCGCGCAGGCCGCTATGCTGTCGCACCGCCCCGCCAGGATCGGCAGGCCGCGCGCTGCAGAGAGGCCGCTCTCGCCCGGGGTCACGCTGGCGTGCAGCCGACGAGGGAGACGACGCCGACGAGCAGGCGTGGCGGCAGTGGCTCGGGAGGGCGCCAGGGGCGCAGAGAGAGGCCGGCAGCCGCAGCCCCGCCGGCGGCAAGGGCGGTCGGCGAGGAGGGGTGGCGCGCTCCGAGCCGGCCTGGCCGGCGGCGAGCAGAGGCCGCAGCCCTGGCAGCGCAAGGGGGCAGAGGCAGCCGCCACGGGCCGAGGCCTCGGAGTGGGCGGCCACGGGGCGCAACGGCCCCGCCAGCGATGCCGAGGGCGGCTGGCGTGGAAGGGGGGCGTGGCCCGACGCGAGTGGTGGTGAGGGCGGCGTGCGTGGGAGGGCGGAGTGGAGCGGCTCCCCACCGCCAGGGGCAAGCAGCAGCCGCAGCCGCCCTGGTGGTGTCAAGGGCGGCTGGCGTGGCCGGGGGGAGTGGCCAGATGCGCTAGATGCGGATGCTAGCAGCAGCAGCACCCGCCGCCGTGGTGGTGGCAGAGGTGGCCGGCAGGATGAAAGGGAGTGGCTGGATGCACCGGATGCGGATGCCAGCGGCAGCCGCAGCCGCCGCGGTGGTGGCCAAGGTGGCTGGCAGGATGAAAGGGAGCGGTTGGATGTGCTGGATGTGGATGCCAGCGGCAGCCGCAGCCGCCGCGGTGGTGGCAAAGGTGGCCGTCACGTGCGCAGGGAGTGGCAAGATGCGGATGCCAGCAGCGGCCACAGCCACAGCGGTAGTGGCAAGGGTGGCTTGCACGAGGAGCGGTTGGATTCGCCCGCGCCCGAGGGCAGCGCCAGCGGCAGAGGCCGCGCCGGCGGCTGGCCAGACGGGAGGGAGCAGCTCCAAGCGCCGGCGGCGGCCGGCAGCAGCCCGAGCGGCGCCGGCGAAGGTGAGGTGCGCGGCGGCCGCCCCGCCAGTGGCGACGAGGGCGGCGAGGCTGTGGACGGCCAGGAGGCGCGGGGGGCTGGCAGTCGGCGCCGTTGGGCTCGGGACGACGGGCCCGACGAGCGGTCCCGAGCCGCCCGCGAGGCTATCGAGGAGGTGCGCCGCCTGTCAGCCCGGCGGGATGACGAGGGTCTGACTTCGAAGGATAGGTTTAGGCGTCGCCGCGCTCAGTGGGAAAGCATGCGCGAGCGGGGTAAGCTGGCGAGGAAAGACAGCGATCGGGCTTTGAGGGGGGAGATATACCAGGAGCTGTCGCGCCACGAGGAGCGGCAGACCACCGCGGCCTACCTCGACGAGCTCAAGGAGGCCGGGGACTCCAAGCGTATCGCCGAGCTCGCCGATCAGCTGGACAGTGGCGCGTGGCTGCACGCGGTCAGCTGCCTTCTCCAGCTGGACGAGCTGAGGACGGCCTTCACCCTTGTCTCCCAGTCCGCGGATTCTGTGAACATGTCTGCCTGGTGCCGGGCCGCAGTGGGCATCGGCGAGGCGGCACTGTCGGTAGACGAGGACGCGGCGGAGCTCGAGTTCCCCGACCGCGGACTCGCACAGGAGGTCGAGCAGCTGCTGATCGAGCACAGCTGCGACACCGCTGTCGTTGAGCTCTGGCTGGTATTCGCAGCGGCAGAGGCCCACCTTGGGGCCGCCCGCCTAAGGAGGGCACGCCTGGGCGTTCCTGGCGAGGGCACAAGCGGCGCCGAGGACTCGAGGAAGGCAAATTTGCACAAGCATCGCATTTCGAGTCGAAAGGGATTTCGCGCGAGTCTTGTGCGGAGACACATTGTGCGCCGTGGGCGGGGCTCTTTGCCTTTGGAGCTGCATCTGCGCGCCCGTGCTTTCACAGTAGAAGTAGGACGCGCAGAACAGCCCCGATGGATGCAGTCCCACTGCACACGGCCTCTTGTGCGCTTTGTGCACCCCTCTGCCATCAAGAGGACAATCAGGAGGGGAAAAAACACACAGACACAATTAATCGGCGATTCCCAGAAAATATGGGAAAATATGGGAAGTGGTTGGGAAGACAGAAACCCAGAAAATATGAGAAAATATGGGGAATATTTTTATTTGTGTGTATTTATTTGTGTGTCCTGGGGCCCCTTCAGACAATTCTGCACAAGCATAGTCTCTGCGAGGTCCGCGCGGACTGCCTGGATCGGCGCTGGGCGCCCCTGGCGGTGCCCACGGGGCTGGAGGCGCGCCGCCGGGTGCGTCCAGCGCCCATCCGAGACATCCGCGCCAGAAGTTGATGTTTGATTCTATGGGCGCTGGCAGAAGTTCCGGCCGAGGTAATGCAGGTTGGGCTGCTACGGCTGGGGGTGCGGGGAAACGCGGCGATGTCGGCAAGATCTAGGGCCCCTGCCCCAAAGCCTCGCGTTCCCCGCGATTGCCGACCCGAGCAACGCCGACGTCGAGTATTGAAGCCCGAGAGCAGAGATTCGTGCACTGTTCCTCAACTCTGCTTGAGCATCACACGGGTTTCCACCTGATCATAAGGATCCCTTGTTCCGAGACCTCTGCCGCCTTCGGTCGTGCGGTCGGGAACGCTTTGCAAGCGGACCGCGAAGTGGATAGCGTGTCGCACCGAGACGCGGTGGCCCAAAACTGGCGGAGCGACGCGGTATCCAAAAGTTCCTGGCCGTCTTCGTGGTCGACGTCGGGCTAAACTTGAGTGGCCAGTTTTCCACCACCTTTGCCATAGGTGGGAGAGGGAGGAGGAGGAGGAGGAGGAGGAGGAGGAGGAGGAGGAGGAGGAGGAGGAGGAGGAGGACCGCCCCATCCTCTCTTCTCCCCCGTCCTACCTGTGGCAGCGTTGGTGGACCATGGGCCCGGCAGAAGCTCTCCTCTCCCCAAGGACCCGGGGGGCAGCGCCGCGGGCGCGGCGGCCCCCGGAGCGGGGAGCCGCACGCCCGCGGAGGGCGGCGCCGAGGCTGCGGGCACGCCGGCCTCCAGCAGCCAGGGCTCGAAGGAGGGACCCTGGAGAGCGGGGCTGCGGAGAGGGGGGGCCTGGAGAGGAGGGGTGCGGCTCGGAGGGCCACGGCGGTCCAGTGCTGCCCCAAGGGGCGTCTTCGCCCCAGGTTCGGGCCCCAGGGGCCCCCACGGGTCGACCTGGCTCGAGAAGCGAGGCAGAGAGACGGGGTCTCGGGTCTGGGGCCCCGGTCGGGATTTTTCGTGATGTTACGATGTCTGTCCAACCTTCGTGTGTTGGGGTCTCGTCTCGAGCAGCGCACTGCGGTCGCGACCTTCCTCCTCCTCTCTCCTCCCGCCTCCTGCCTCCTGCCCCGCCGTCCTGCCTGGGGCCCCCCGCTGGGGGGCCGCGGAGTGTGGAGCTGTCACCGCTTTCGAGGGCTGCCTGGAAGGCCAGCTTATACACGTAGTCGGCACCGAGCGCAGATGCAGTTTGGACCTCGCCAGCCCAAGGGCTGCGGAATCCAAAGCTGTCGTCAATTCCGGCCGCTGCGGGGGGGCGGCTCAGTGGGTACCGAGCGCAGATTCAGATGCGACCTCGGTATCCCTGGGCAGGCTGCGATCTGCGAAGCTGTCGCCACTTTCGAAGGCTGCTGGGGGGCCAGCTTAGTGGTACCGAGCTCAGATTCAGATCAGACCTCGCCATCCCTGGGTGGCTGCGAACTGTGAAACTGTCGCCACTTTCGAAGGCTGCTGGGGGGCCAGCTGGGTACCGAGCGCAGATTCACCTTAGACCTCGCCATCCCTGGGTGGGTGCTGCGAACTGCTCATCCATCTAGACCTCGCCATCCCTGTGTGGGTGCTGCGAACTGCTCATCCATCTATCACCACTTCCGAGGGCTGCTGGAGGGCCAGCTTAGTGGGTACAGCGCGCGGATTCAAATCAGACCTCGCCATCTCCAGGGGGCTGAGATCTTCGAAACCGTCGTCACTTCCGAAGACTGCTGGGGGGGGGGCAGCGTAGTGGGTACCGAGCGCAGATCCGATAAGGCCTTGACACGCCTGGGTGGCTGCGGATTGTGAAACTCTCGCCACTGTGGAGGACTGCTCGGGGTGGGGGCCAGCGCAGTGGATACCGAGCGCACATTCCGATTAGACCTCGCCATCCCTGGGTTGCAGCGATCTGCGAAACCGTCGTCACATTCGAAAGGCTTCCGGGAGGGCGAGCGCAGTGGGTACGGACCGCAGATTCGCATTGGACCTCTCATTCCCTGGGTGGTTGCGACCCTGGAAACTGTCGCCACTTTCGAGGGCTGTCGGGGGGGGCAGCGTAAGGGGTCCCGAGCGCAGATCTAGATTGGACCTCGCCATCCTTGGGGGAGCTGCGAACTGTGAAACGTTCGACGCTTTCGAGGGCTGCTGGTGGGACCAGCTTAGCGCGACGCAGTTCGCTTGAGAGCGGGATCTCGTCAACCCTGGGTGGCTGCTATCTGCGAAACTGTCGCCACTTTCGAGGGCTGCGGGGAGGGCCAGCTCAGCGCGGTGCTACGCAGAGAAGAGTGGGACCTTGCCGCCCGCGTGGGCTGACAAACGTGCGACAGCATCGCCATTCTCGTGGACTCCTTTTGGGGCCAGCTAGGTGAGGTGCTACGCAGATTAGACCGGGACCTCGCCATTTTTGGGGGGCTGCGGACCGCGAAACTGTGGTCACTTTCGAGGGCTGCTCATTGGGGCCAGCTTAGCGCGGTGCTGCGCAGATCAAATAGGAACCTCGTCGACTGGGGGGGGAAATTGCGAAATTGCCGCCACCTTCGTGGGTTCCTTGGGGACCGCAGAGTGCGGTGCTGCGCACATCAGAGCGGGACCTCGTCATCCTTGGGGGCCTCATTTCTCGTCCCTTTGTATCGATCCGATGAGTCGTGCACCGCGCGCTTGTTCTGTAGCTTGCGCAAGAAATTACGGCTTTGCATCATCATCATCATTCATGCGAATTTGGGCCCACTCCTCTTGGCCCTTGATGCGAATGGGCAGGGTACGTCGCAGGGTCATATACTTGGTACCGTCAGATTTCACGGGAGGATGGGCAGCAGGGACAGGAGGAGGAACAGCCCGAGGGGTCAGAGGAGGGACAGGACGAGGGATAGGACGAGGGGCAGCAGCAGGGACAGGAGGAGGGATAGCCCGAGGGAAAGGAGGAAGGAGGATGAGGTCGAGGCGTCCGAGCACCTAGGGGTCGCTGATGTCCACGCCGCCCTGAAGGCTGCACGTTTTCGGGCGTTTCGGTCGGCTCCTTGAGGTGTTCCTCATGGGATGCGTTCAACCAGTTGCGCCTCGCCGAATGTGTTCCAGCGGTGCCCAGATCGTCCCGAATGGCTGTTGTATGCTCGAGTTGTGACCCGAAAACCAGATGAGGGAGGGGGGGGTCCATTTGGATCCGGGTCGATATCGATTCGGTATGGATTCCCGACGGCCCGATCCGATCCAGTGCTGCGCATCCTGGAGCAGCCGATCCGGTTCGATTTCGAATCCGTGCCGATGCAGTGAGATCCGGATCCGGGAAGGTGCTGGAGCTTGCCAGTGGAGGCAGCGGCGAGGGAGGCGTCGATGCCGCCGTTCGCGCTGATGCCTCCGAGTCACTCCGGAGGTGCTTCGAGCATATCAGCGAGGTCGAGAAAAAGGTGGCCGCCTGCCAGCTGCCCGCTGGCGGCATGCGCAGGTGGAACGATGTGCTGCGATGTGTTGCGAAGCACCGTCAAATGCCGAGTACCTTCCAGGTGCTGGATGCGTTCGAACGCTTGGGGGTGAAAAAGAACGAGTTCACCTACGAGCTGGTTTCCAGGGCTGGCTGTTTGTCGGTGGCGCGGCCAGTCACAGTGGATTCGTTCGAAACCATGCCGCCCGCGCACTTCCCTGAGATCGTGTTCTTGGGTAGATCGAACGTTGGCAAGAGCTCTCTGGTGAACGCGGTGCTGCACCGGAGAAAAACCCTCGCGCCGGTAGCTGCGACTCCAGGTCATACAACACGATTCCATTTTTACACCCTCAACGAAAGGAACACCATGTTCCCGCAGATGACGGTGGTGGATGTCCCAGGTCTTGGTTTTGCAGTCGCTGATGAGGCTCAGGTAGAACATTGGAAGTCCACGCTGTTCACATACATGGAGTATCGAGGCAAACGGCTTCGCGGTATATTTCACCTCGTCAGCGCCTTCGATTTCTATCGCGCAGGGAAGTTGGATCGATTGGACGTTGACATTATGAAGGCAGCGCAGCCGTCAGGCGCGGAGTACACATTAGTGCTGACCAAGTTGGACATGGTACCCAAGAGGGTGGATCTTTACGCTATGCTTGAAGAATGGCTGGAGGTCAATGGGCTCTCGGTGGACCGCCGCAACATCGTTATGTCGAGCGTACTGTCGCGCGTGGGCCGCGACCTCCTGTGGCAGCGCCTGTGGAGCTGCGTGGACCCCGAGAACCCGCGCTGGCACGGGACTCCGGACCTGCTCTCCATCAAGTCGGACTTGGAAGCCCTCGCCAGCTCCTCCGACAGCTCCGCGGCGGCTGCCGCGATTGTGGAGCGCATGGAGGGGCTCGACGGGGACTCCTGGGAGTACGCGGTGAGGGTGCTGCTGCAGCTGGGAGATCGGCTGCACGTGAAGAGTGACCCCTCCGCCGGAGTGGCCTCTGGTGCGCTGGCCTTCGGGCAGCACGGGGCCAGGCCTGAGCACGCAGGCCGCGGCTGTCGCACCGCGTGCGGCGGCCGGCAAGCCGCGCACCGGGGGTCACTCCTGCCCAGGGCCACCTCGCATGCGGCCGAGGAGAGCTGGAGACCGCATGGCAGGCCGTGGATCGCAGGACCTCCGACACCGGAGGCCCCGAGGCCGCGGCCTTCTTTCCGCAGCAGCGGGCCGCCCTCGCCGTGGGCATCGCCGCCTACGCCGCCGACGGCACCCGCCGTCTGGGGGAGCGGATCCTGGCGTCCCTGGTCGAGCGCGGCAACCACGACGCCGCGGTCGAGCTGCTGCTCGAGAAGGCGGCCGCCGAGGCGCGCCTGGCGGCGCTCGCGCGCACGCGGCGCCTGGCGGCCGCGGGCGCCTCGGGCACGCTGGGGCAGCCGCCCGCTGATGCGGGGGCCTGGGGCAGTGCCGCTGGCGCGGCCGACGCGGGGGCCTGGGGCGCCGAGCCCCAGGCCCGTGGCGAGGGGCGCGCTGGCGGACACGAGGAGGGCGACGGAGAGCAGGACCCAGATGCCATGTTCGCGGTGGCGCTGGAGAGCCTGCGGCACCTGCTCGCCAGGGCAGAGGAGTGGCAGGCCCGGCCCTGGAGCGTCGACCGCTGGAACCGCCTGGTGCGCTGGATCATGGAGCGGCGAGACCTCTCCAGCCTGCTCGCGGTGCTCGACGCCATGGAGGCGCTGGCCGTCCGGCAGAATGCCGAGACGTACTCGCACATCGCGGCCGGCGCGGTCGCGGCCGTCTCGGCGGGCGAGGGCACCTCCACACTCGAGGAGCTGGCCGCGCTGCCGACGGCTGCTCCCGCGGGGCCGCTCGGGGCGGCGCTCCCCGAGGTGGCGTTCCTCAGCTCCTCCGGCGCCGCCCACAACGCCGACCCGCTGGTGGACGCTCTGCTGTGGCCTCCCCTGCGCGAGCGGACCGGCGAGCTCCGGGCCGAGAGGGGCGAGGACATCCGTGTCGAAGGCCGCCCGAGGCCAACTGGTGGGGCCATCGACATGCTGCTGGCGCGGCAGAGGCGAAGCGACGATCCGCCGCAGCTGCGGCGGCTCGTCGTCAACTGCACGCCGGGGTCGCAGGCAGCCATTCCGCCATTCGGCCTCCTCGACGTGCCTGCGGGGGCTTCTGACGCGGACGACTGGGCGAAGCACGTCGTGGGCCATCTGGAGCGTCGGCCTGGCCGCTTCGCGGGCGTATTCCAGGTGGTGGATGCTTGGAACTTTGTGGGGTTTGTGCGCAAAGTTGCGCCCAACAAGGACCCGCAAATGGCCCCTCGTAAGCCTCGCGAGACGGAGCTGGAAACGTTCTGGTTCGCCGACAACAGCCAGTTGCAGGCCGAGACCGCCGGCGTCGCCTACAGGTACAGCGCCGAGCTTGGCGACACTGATGGGCGTCATCTTCTGCGGTGGGGCCACAAAGTCCAGGGGTTTGTCACCGAGGACGGGGAGTGGCTCCGAGTCTCTGGCCGCAAGTGGTGTCGCAAGGAGGACCAGTATTTGCCCCTTCGTTCACAAGGCGTGCCAGTGCTGGTCCAGGCCGCGTGCTGCGAATGCGGGAGTACCCCAACCGCGCACGAAAGAGAGGAAGGGCAAGTCCTCCAGGTCTACTGCCCCGCCTGCTGGGATGCTTGGCAGAACAGGGGGAGCGGGGCGGACGCGGAGTGGGCGCTGCGGGGGGAGGAGCTGGAAGTCCAGCGGGCTGCCCTGGGATCCCTGCGGCCAGGCGGGAGCTACACGCTCGTCGTCGCGGACGCCATGCAGCTCGGGCGGGAGCCGTGGGATAACCCGGGCAAGGACTGGGCGGAGGTCATGGCGGTCAGTCAGGAGCGCGAGCGGCTGCTGACCGAGCATCTCGAGAGGCGCGCGATCGAGGCTTGGCGGACGAAGGGCGGCAATGGTCCAAGGAATGTTGCTGCCATCGGGAACACCTGCCTCGGGTCGGCCGGAAAGATTCACCGCTCACTAAACCACCCCAACCCAACCTGAAGGCCCCGATTTGCCCTCCATTTCCAGTGGGTTGGGGGCGTCGGGGAGCATTGAGAAAACACACACATGTGGAACCCGTACCCCCGCAACCCGAAATTCGGGTCTTCGGGTTGGGTTGGGGTGGTCTGGGAGCTCGTGAAAGTTGGTCTCCCGACGCACCGGCGCAGCGGGCATGCACTTCCTTGCCGCCTTGAGGCAGGCGCCCCGGATGGCCCAAGCGCTTCTTTTTATTCCCTCGTGCCGGCCTTCGCCCGCCGGGAGGTTGCCGAAGAGATCGGGAACGGCCGCGTGGACGTCCGCGTCGTCCTGACGGACAAGGCCAGGGACGGCCGTGGCACCGGCGCGCTGTGGACGCGGCTGTGGGGCTGCGTGCGCGCGGAGCTCCGCGGCCCGGCGCCGTGACCGCGCGCCGGGAGCCCCATCGCCCGCTCGCCGCAGTGCCGTGCCGAGTGTGTGTTGACGGCGCGCACACGTCGGAGCCGACGGGAGGGGGGCGAACAGCCCATGCGCAGGCATGACATCTGTTCGCCCGGGAGCCTCGCCGCGTGGGCCATCGGCGTGCCCGGATACACGTCTTGCCCTCCCCCGGCCTCCTCGCCCCCATCCTCGGCCCCGGACGGGGGGGTGGGGGGGGCGCGAGCAAGGGTGTCCGCGGTTCGGTCGGTTCGGCCGCGTCGCGGTCAGTCGCTTCGGTTCGGTCGGCTGGTGTGCCGTTGCCGCGCTGGTGCGCCCTCCTGGGCTGCTGGCGGTCTGTCGAGTTCGCTCGGTCTTGGTCTCCCTATCGATTCGGTCGGTTTTCGGTACCGCCGTCGCCCTGGACGGCCTTGGCGGGGGCGGGAGGTCTTCTACGAAGGCGGGTGGCTTCTTCGAAGGCAGGCGCTTCCCAGAAGGGCCCATGCGCTTCTAAGAAGACTTCCGAGAAGCCCTTCCGAGCCCCGGCCTTCTCACTTGGCCTCGCGCCCCCCCCCCCCCCAGCCCTGCTTCCAGCGCCGCCGCCGCCCTCGGTAGGACAGGACGGCCCAGATAGCTTTCGGCTCCCGCGGCCGCTCACGCAGGGCATCTTGACAGGTTTAGACTCTCGGGGCTGGTCCCGGTCGCCGGCCAGTGTCGCGGCCTCCGACAACGAAGTCTTTTTTTCCCCAACCCTCCTCCTAGAACAGGGAGGCGGCATTGCTCTATGCACAACACGGCCCTCGTTATGCATGGAGCACTGCTGTCTCCACCTCCCGCTCCTCCTCCCCTCTTCCTCTCTCCCTGCCTGCTGGCTCGCCGTCCTACCTGGGGGCTCGACGGGGACCCGTGATGTGCGATACTGTCTCCACTTTCGAGGGCTGCCAGGCGGGTCCAGCGGAGTGACGCGCTGCTCTGATTCAGATTAGACATCACCCTCGCTAGGGGGCTGCGAACTGTAAGAGCGTCGCCACTTTCGAGGGCTGCTGGGGGTCAGCTGATTCACGCGCTACGCAGACTCAGATTGGACTGCGAACTTTGAAATTGTTGCCACGTTCGAGGGCTGCTGGTAACGCGCTACGCAGATTCAGATTAGACCTTGCCACCCGTGGAGGGGCTACGAACTGTGAATTGGTCGCCATGTCGAGGGCTGCTAAATGGTCGAGCAGAGTGAGGCGCTGCGCAGATTTAGATTCGACCTCGCCATCCCTGGGAGGCTGCGAATTGTGGAAGAGTCGCCATTTTCGAGGACTGCTGGAGAGGCCGGCGGAGTGACGCTCTTCGCTCTACGCATCCTTGGCGCACAACTCATCCGCACACGCGGCCTCGCGGGCGCCCCCCCTGGGCCGCGGGCCGCGACCCCGCGGACACGGGGCGTCTGCTCGCGGATGCCCCGCGTGGGCCTTGTCCGTTCGACCGCAGGCCCACGGCATCGCGCCTCGGAGTCCAGACCGTGAAGGGGTGGCTCTAGAAGTCATCGCCGCTCGTGCGGGCAGCGCGGGCAGCCCGCGAGCCTCCGCGAGGCTCTCCCTCGGGGCCCACTCGGCCTGCACGCCCTGCCGGCTTCCCCGCCTCGCGCCCCGGTTCGCCTCGCGCCCCGGCCGTGGGCGTCTGCTCCGCCTTGCCTCGGGAGCGGAAAAGAGGGGGGTGATGACTAGGGGGGGGTGGATTTCATGGCGCGGGCCATGATTTTTCCCCAGATTTCATGGCGCCTCTTCTTATTTTATTACGTCCCAGGCCCCCCCGCTGGGCCGCGCACATGCCGCCGGTCATGATTTGCACCCCCCCCTCTTGGACACCCCCCTCTTGGCCGCTCCCGATTGCCTTAGGTCATGCTGATTCACTGTCGACTGCTTGGCTGACGTGTCGGGGAAGCGTACAGCTCAAGGGTTCGTCGCCGCCTTGTGAGCCCGACGCAGGGAAGACTGCATGAGCAGAACTTCTGCGATCTTTCATGGTGCATCATTCTGTCATTGCGTTTTGTCATTCAATCGCTAGCCCCGCCCAGCATTAGTTTTGACGGTCCAGTTTTCGTGAGATGTGTTTGAAGCTGGACTCCACACAAAATGTCAGACTAGGTCCCGCCAGTGTTTCGGAGGTCCCGTCTGGCAAGTTCGAGAACCCAGAACTCGAGGCATACGTCTGCCCGACGAGGCCAGCATGTCGAATCAACATGGCCAAATGGAGCACGCGATTGTTCGCGTTGGCATCAGAGAGACGGTACCGAGCAGCTCCATCGGAGCAGCGCTGCCGTTGTGGTTGCCGGTGCTTTGGGCCACGCAGTGTGAGTTGGAGAAGGCGGCGGATCCCGAGGAGGAAGGGAGGTATTTTTTCCGGCGAGACTGCGGAAGATTCGCGCCGCGCTGACGCGACGACCCCAGGCACCAGCGTTCAAGGTCGAAAGTTGCGGGTCGCCCTGGATTGGCCGAAATCGCAAGATCTGTGTTGTTGGAAAGTCGCGATTGTGCCATGTTGAACCATCCACCCGGTGTCAGAAGTAAACGCTCTTACTTCATCCGGACGTCAGCTTGTGTTCCATCGAACGCTGCCAGGATGCGGGCTGCGTGCCGCGCGCCCGGCTTTCCACGTCCCGCCACCCCCCTTCCCCTTCCTCATGCTCTTCTGCCACAGAGCTTCGCCAGATTCAGGAGGGGAAAAAACAAACAGACACAATTAATCGTTGATTCCCAGAAAATATGGGAAAATATGGGAAGTGGGCGGGAAGACAAAAACCCAGAAAATATGGGAAAATATGGGGACCCATTTTATTTGTGTGTGTTTATTTGTGTGTCCTGGGGCTCCTTCACAGATGGTAAAACAAGGTGTTGCGTCGAACGCCGGCCAAGCGCGTCCTGTGATCCTGAAGCTCTGACGCCGCCCAGGATCGGGCGCGGCGCGTCGCAGAGGCCGCCAGGCAGGCCAGATCGGCGATTCCGGCAGGAGGAGTGTCCCGGGTGGCGGCTGCGCGGGAGGTCCCCGCGGACGACGCCGAGGCCTCCCTGTCCTTGAGCTCGCACGCCAGCTCCAAGCAGGCGCCCTCCTGCGCCAGCCGCCTGCGCCTGCCCCTGCCCGTCCAATCCGAGCGGAGGTGGCCGAGCGGTCCTGCGCCATCCCTGGGTGCGTGCCTGACGTGGGCTTCTGCGGTGAGGACTCTTGCAAGTGAAGCCTCACCTCTGAAGAACAATGATTAAGTCGGGCCCGTCCCTCTACAGGAGGAATATTAAAAAATAGGCAAACAATAGTCTGGGGACAATGTTTTGAATATGTTTTGACCAGTTGGGGTATTGTTTGAGTATGTTTCAATTATCGTCGAAAATTCCTCTGTAGGGGGACACGCCCGACTTACAACAATGATTATTGCACCCCCTTTCCCGGTAACAGATGTGTGTTTCAATTGACGTGCCCCTCCAGGTGCTCGCGCCCTGCTTTCCAACAAGGGAAACTGTTCCAGGGAAACTCTTGGGTCTCCAAGCTGCGATGTTGGCCTCCGAGCTACTACTCCCAGCCCAGTTTACAGAAGAGTCGCTCTCTTGTTCGACAGGTCCTTGCAATGCCCCTACGGATCGCCCTCTGGCGTGAGACTCTCTCGCGATTTACTCTGGCGTCGCTCCCTCGATACTCAAGAATCACGCTCTTGCCGTCTGGGTCCGCCTGACTGACCTGCCCGCTAGGTTCCGCCCGACTGACCCGCCGGCCTGCTTCTGCCGTCTGGGTCCGCCTGCCTGACCTGCCCGCTAGGTTCCGCCCGTCTGACCCGCCGGCCTAGTTCTGCAGTTTTTCTCCTGCTCCTGACCCCCTTTCCTGGTAATCTCCCTCGCGCCCCATCCTTCTCCCTCCCCTTGTCATTTCCTCCTCCCTCCCTTCCTGCACTCCTATCCTCCGCGCTCTCTCTTTTGTCCTTTCTCCCATCTCTTCCTGTTTTGGGGGCTGCGACAACTACACGTGGCAGGTGAGGATGATCTATCCCCAAGGGGGCTCCGATCGAAGACGAAGAGGGGGGTCGCGAGGGTTTGGGATATACATGCTGGTTAGCGCACGAGTAAATGAGAGCGAACAGTTCTCAACTGATGGTTTGAACTCTCACTTCTAAAGAAAACTTGGTGTTGACCCCCCCGTCCGGTGCACCTTTCGTTCCTCCAAATGAAGTTCCCGTGCTTCGCACCGTGTTGATCACGAGGAGAAGTCCTGCGCATCAAATTGTGTTGCTGGCCCCAGGTTTAACACAGCAACGGCTCCTGCCGCATATTTCTTCAAGACTTGTTTGAAAGCTTCGCTCATTCCGCCGGTCTGTCGCGCATCACTGTGGTTGCGTGGTGGTGTGCTCGTGCCCAGGGGGAGCAGAAGGGCAGGCAGGAATGCCCTCGAGGAGATCTTCGGAGATGTGGCTCCCACCCTGTCCAAGAGAGCCGGCAGACTGTCCCAGAGGGCGCCAAGATGGATCAAGAGCGCTCCAGCAGAGTTTCGAGGCGTAACTGGGATGTGGGTCAGAGTTCCGTGGATGCTTCTTGGGATCGCTTCGGGGGCCTCTCGGTAGCCTCTGGGGAGCAGTTTTAAGGCCTTTGGTGGGGGCTTCTTCGGGACTTCCTGGGGCTTCTTGGGGTCCTGTTGGAGGTCTTGGGGGCCTTTGGGGAGGCTTTTTGGGGGCCCCTCGGGGCCTGTTGGAAAGCTCTCCTCTTGGGGGCCTCTGGGAGCTTCCTGGGCGCTTCTTCGGGCCGAGAGCTCGAAATGTCCGTTCGGGTTTCCTCTCTAGGCCCCCTCGTGGGGCCATCCTGGGGCCGTCTTGGAGGCCTCTTGAGCCGTCTTAGGGCCATCTTGGGCCATTTGGGAGCTCTGTTGGAGGCTTTTGGGGCTGTCTTGGAGCGATCTTGGGGCCTCTTGGGCCGTCCAGGGCGGTCGGCAGCTCAAAAAGGCGGTACCGCCAAACTCGTCTGAAAACCAATGCGAAGTCAGTGATTTGTGTGTATCTGGGGCCTCTCGAAGTGCTTTGGGGCCCTCCTGGAGCGTCTTCAGCGCTTCTTGGGCCGTCTTGGGACCAACGTGGGCCATCTTGGAAAGCTCTTGGCCTGGGGCCGTGGGGCCTGCCACCCATTTGGCGCCTTATTTGGGCGCTCCGAAGGTCCCCGAGGCCGCGCCCAGGAGTTCCGGCATCTCTGGCCCGACCCTGCCAGGACCATGCCGGGACCTTGCCACTTTTCGTCCAGGGACCCCCAGGGGTCGCCACGCGCGCGCGAACTAGAAAGATGATCTAGCTCTTACCAGATATGTTAGTAATCCTCTAGCCCGTTGGACCGGTGAGTTAACAGATCGGGCTTTTGCTAGAGGTTTCTGTGAGATCTGTCCAGGAATCGCGCCCTCGTCTGAGAATTCCTGGCAATGTATCAACCGAACGGCCGTATTCAAGGGGCTGAGTTGGTCTCGGTCTGTGCGGGCCTCATCAAATCTGCAACCCGTCATTGTTCGGCTGCAGTTTGGCCAGGGCCCTTCATTGTAAGGTCGCTGGTTCGCACCGTTTGGTCTTACATGGCTGTCGCACGAGAGAAAGAGAGAGAGAGAGAGAGAGAGAGACAAAGAGAGAGAGAGAGAACAAACAAACAGAGAAAGAGAGAGAGAGAGAGAGAAAGAGAGAGGGAAATACATAACTAAATCAAGAGAGAACGAAAGAGGAAGGGAAAGGGAGAGAGAGAGAGAGAGAGAGAGAAACAACAAAAAAGAGACAGAGAAAAAGAGAGAGAGAGAGAGAGAACATAAATAAAGAGAGAGAGAGAGAGGCAGACAGAGGAACCAAAGGAGGCCCTAGGAACCCAAATGATCCTTAGGAATCCATCGGGATCTGTAGGAACTCCTGGGGATCACCAGGAATATCTAGGAACCCCTTGCAATATTTTAGAACCTCTTAGGACACCCCATGAATCTCCAGGAACTCTCAGGACTTTTCAGGAGTCCATTGGAATCCTGCGAAATCCATGGGGATCTTGGAATTCTCAGGAATCCCAAGGAATCCCTAGGAGACATTGGGAGTCCATCGAGATCCTCAGGAACACCCATGGGTCCTTAAGCATCCTCCGGATTATCAAGGGAAGCATGGGAACCCCTTAGAGCCCTCAGGAACCAGGAGTCCATAGGGAACCTCAGCGACCCACATGAGTCCATAGGAATCCTCAGGAACCCCAGGAACCAGGACCCCCTAGGAATATTCAGGACTCCGTCGGAAACGATGGGATCCCTAGGGAACCTCAGGAACCCCGTGAGAATCCTCCAGAATCCTGAGGAATCCCTTGGGATCCTATGGATCGTCAGTGGTCCTCTATAGTAATTTGTGGGAACCCCCTTAGGAATCCCAGGGGATCCTCAGGAACCTACAGGATCCTTGAGGATTCACCAGGGAATCCATCGGAATCTACAGGAATCTGAAGCACTGAATACGAATCCTCCGGAACCCTTCGGAATCCAGAAGAACCATTCGGAACCCTGATGAATCCCATGGAATCCATCGGAATCATAAGGAATTCATGTGAATCCGAAGGAAGCCATAGGAGTTCAGATGAACCCATGTGACCCCCAAGGGATCCTGAGGAATCTCTAGGTATCCATCGGGATCCCTACGAATCCATTCGAATCGGTAGGCGCCTCCAGGAATCCCAGTGAATTCCCAGCAATCCTGAGGAATCCTCAGGCATCTGTAGGAATCCATCGGAATCCTGAGGAATCCATGGGGTCCCCTAGGGATCCGTAGGAATCCACAGGAATCCCCAGGAACCCACAGGAATATTCATGCATCCACAGGAATCCCGGGATACAGGAATCAATTAGGAATCGATCAGGAACCCATGGGAATCTATAGGAACCCCCAGGAGCCCTCACGAATCCAAAGGAATCCGTCAGCATCCTCAGGAAACCCTGTAGATTTTTTGGGGACCCATGAGAATCAAAAGGAATCCTCAGGAATCTTTCAGGTACCCCAGGAGTTCCCAGGACTTCTTAAGAATCCATCGGGATCTTCAGGAATCCATCGGAACCTTCGGGAATCAATGGGAGTCCTCCGGAATCCGTAAGAATCAATCGGAATCCTCAAGAATTCTTAGAAACCCTTCGGAACCTTTGGAAGTTCAAAGGAGTGTATGGTTTTTTTCTTCTCAGAGGAGGAGCGGGTTCCCATACCCCTACCATCGCCTCGTTTTCCCTTTGTGGGGCCGCCTGGGAGGCCCTCGTCGCCACCGCTGGATTCGCTTCGAAATTGTAGTCAGAACGCACCCCGGGGAATGTCCGGGGAGTAGCTGTATGGGTTCCTTTCGGTTTCCCCAGTTTCGGGGCTCAAGGGACGGGGGTCAATGCAAAAGGGGGTCAGCCAGGGCGCTGGATCTTGCAGGATCCTGCAGGGCCAGGGCTGCGTTGGCCCGGGTCAGCGTGCAGTATCCTGCAAAGCCCGACTGACCTGGGCATGCGCTGATTTGAGTCAGTAAAAGTCCGATTGTTTTTTGTCCTGCTGATGTTGCTGCCTCGTCCCGCCAGGCCTGGGCTCCCGCCTGCGCGTTCGTCTTCTGCCGTTTTTCTCCTTTTCTCTCCCTCCTCTTCGCAGCGCTGCGCTGACACTCCGCGGAACCACGCGTCGGCGTGCGCTATGCTGGAGCGCCCCGGAGGGATTTCGCTTGGAGAGGGCTGGTGGGATCGACCTTGCCCCTGTGCGCCTTGGCCTAGCGTTTCGTCGGCAGCTTTCAAGAGTTTGGCGCATATCTCAGCCCCCCGCGAAATTCCCAGGGCCGTCCGCACTCAAGACTTGGCCCAAAGGCGCGCCCGGATTTCTTCAATCAGCACTTCATGCTTCGTCGCAGTGGCTGTGTGTGCACCGGCGGCTGCTCCGCCGGGGCGGAAGGCTGGCGAAAGTAGGAGCGAGACGTCAGCAGTTTGGGACTCAGGGTTTTCATAGTCGGCCACTTTGGCTCAAGCAAGTTCGGCTTGAGATTCGGTTCCAGACACTTCCAAAGCCTGGCCAGCAGCAGCGATGGGCAAGAAGGGCGCCGAGGCTCCTCCCGCCGAGGGCGGCAGCAAGGGCTCCAAGAAGGCGTCCAAGGTGGCCAAGGCCGTGAAGAAGACCGTGGCACGGAAGCAGAAGAAGGTCCGCACGAACGTGCATTTCTTCCGGCCGAAGACCCTGATCAAGAAGAGAGACCCAAAGTACGCCAGGAAGTCCGTGGCTCAGCGGGACAAGATGGACAAGTACCGGATCATCCAGTGTCCAGTGACGACCGAGTCGGCCATGAAGAAGATCGAGGAGATCAACACCCTCGTCTTTCTGGTGGACATCCAGGCGACCAAGTGCAAGATCAAGCAGGCCGTGAAGGAGATGTACGACGTGCAGTGCGCAAAGGTAAACACCCTCATCAGGCCCGACGGCAGGAAGAAGGCCTACGTGCACTTGACCCAGGACTACGACGCGCTCGACGTGGCCAACCGCATCGGCATCATCTGAGCCTCCCCCGGCAGCGCCGCGTGGGCTCCAAAGTACGGAGAACAGTCGTTCCTCCTCCTCCTCCTCCTCCTTCTCCTCCTCCTCCTCCTCCTCCTCCTCCTCCTATCTCTTTCCTCCCTCGTTCATCCTCCCTCCTCGTCTTCCCTCCTTCCTCCCTGGCCTCCTCCTCCTCCTCCTCCTCCTCCTCCTCCTCCTCCCTCCTCCTCCTCCTCCTCCTCCTCCTCCTCCTCCTCCTCCTCCTCCTCCTCCTCCCTCCTCCCTCCTCCCTCCTCCCTCCCTCCTCCCTCCTCCCTCCTCCTCCCCTCCTCTTCTCACCCCCCTCTCCCTCCCCCCCTCTCCCTCCTCCCGCCCTCTTGTTCCCCTAATCGTCTCTCAGTCTTCTTACCAGGAAGCCTTCTGAAGTACCCACAGAAACTCCCCTCACAGCGGCCCCCATCCCATCCCTCCTCCCCTCCCCCCTCCGACTCCCCCCCCATCTCCATGGGTCAGTCCCGCCGCGGCTAGTGGCGTCGGCCATCGCAGTTGCTCCCAGGATACGACCCGCCGCCGGTCAGCTACCTGGTTCTGGCAGCCCGAACCTCCGCAGACTGCCCACGGTGCTCAGTGAGGCCGCTCGGTGTGCTTCCTGGGGGACGGGCGTGCCCAGGATAGGTGGCAGCAGGGCGGAACTGGCCCACTGGGAGACTCAGCCCAAAATGACCGCCGCGAGCCGGGACCTTCGACCGCGAGCCCAAGCTGAGAAGCTGAGAGCTTCGGCCGCGATTCGAAGCTGCAGCTGGTCCCTGGTCCTTCCCGCCCCCACCCCCGGCATAGTACAAGCAGGCCGCGCCCGCCCTGCCGCAATCTCGGAATCTCCATGCGGAGGGCAGCTGTGGCGCTTGGTAGCGCCTTTGGCCCGCGCGTCATCTCGGCCACGGGAGCGGCTGTCCACGGCAGGAGGCTCCAGCAGCGTGCGAGCTCCCTCCACGTGCGTCGCCCTCGGCGGCGCCCGGGAGCGCCAACCTTCACCAGCAGCTGACGCTCGAGCGGGAGGCGAGGAGGCCAAGACTGGCAGCTTGGAGCTGTCCATCCAGATTTAAGTTGGGCAGGTTCTTCTACAGGAGGAAAATTCAAGAATAGGCAAACAATACGCAGGGGATGATTTGTTCTATGACTTCTCGCCATTATTGCACTCTTTGGGGCAGTTTCTAGTTTTTCCTTCAAAGCCCGCCTATAGGGGGACATGCCCGACCTAAATCCAGAAGCTAGCCCCGAAATGCGACCGTGAGGAGTGACGAGCAGGGAGTTGATGTTGATCGACCTCCTACCCTGACACGTCGATTAAGGAATTGTCCGTTTTCGGTTCGCGAGAGGGCGTCGCGACCGTCATTTTTGCGGGTCCAGGTCCGTCGGTTTCGGTCTTTGGCCGTTTTCACTAAGGGGAGGCTTGCTAAAGGGAGGTTTGTCCACCGCCGAGAGGGGGCTGTTTGAGGCCACGGCACGCCTCGGCCACGACCAGGGCCCCCCCCGAGCTGGCCCCGAGGAGCGGCGCGGAAGCCCGGGGGGGCCACTGCTGCACCCGAGATGTCCGCACGGCATCTGTGCACCACCACCGTGCCTGGCGAGGGCCCAGGCTGGCCATGGCCGGCCACGATGCCTTCTGCGTAAGCTGGTCCAGCCGGCGTGGACCAGAAGTCAGAGGAGGAAAAGGTACCAATACCGCTGCCCTTCGCCCGTTTTCCCCTTTGGGGGCCTCTGTGGCCTCCGTCGTCGCCACTGCTGGATTCGCCTCGAAATCCTGGTCAGATCGCGCCCCGGGAGAGGTCCGGGGAGTAGCGGTATCGGTACCTTTTGGTTTCCCCAAGAAGGGAGCAGCACGTGTCAGCCTTGAATCCACGGGTGGAGGATTCGAGCCAAGCGGCCCGCCGACCTCGAGGTCTTGAGGGATCCGCAGCGGTTGCGGCTCCGCGTGCCACGGTGCGGGCGGCGCCCGCAGCATCAGGGGGCTCGTCTCTTCACGCCATCGGGCTTGCTAGGGCCAGCTCCTCTCGCGCACTCACGGGTGGGTCCCAGCCTGCGGCCTCCCGACGCGCGAAGTCGGCAGGCATACGTCTCCCTCCCTCCAATGGAGGTGCACCATACATACTCCACCCTAGAGCGTGTTTCTTCCCTACCTAGGCTCTGCCTAGAAGGGTTCTTACTCGGTAAGCTTAAAGGACCGGGCAGTGTTCCCCGCCCCGGGCGGTTCCCCCGGCATCCGCCCCGCGGTTCCCCCAGTGACGTTCCCTTAGCTTCGCGTTGCTTATCTCATCTTAGCTTAGCTTATTTCATCTTAGCTTCATCTAAGCTCAGTTTTATTCCCTACCTAGGCTCTGCCTAGAGGGTTCTTACTTTGTTTGCTTTAAGGGGCCGGGCAGTGTAAAACGCCCCGGGCGATTCCCCCAGTCCCCGCCCCGCGCTTCCCCCAGTTGCGCTCCCTGGGTCCCCCTAGCTTAGCTTAGCTTAGCTTAGCTTAACTTAGCTCAGCTAAACTTAGCATAGCTGAGCGTAGCCTAGCTTAGCTTAGCTTAGCTTAGCGTAGCGTATCTCAGCTTAGCTTAGCTTATATCATATCAGCTTAGCGTAGCTTAGCTTATCTTAGCTGAGCTTAGCTGAGCTTAGCTTAGCTTAGCTTATCTCGTCTTAGCTTAACTTAGCTGGCCTCATTGTAGCTTAGCTTAGCTTAGCTTATCTCATCTTAGCCTAGCTTAGCTTAGCTTGGCTTAGCTTAGCTTAGCTTAGCCTAGCCTAGCCTAGCCTAGCTTAGCTTAGCTTAGCTTATCATAGCTTAGCTTAGCTTAGCTTAGCTTAGCGCAGCATAGCGCAGCGCAGGATTCGCACAGCATCGCATAGCATAGCATAGCATAGCACAGCCAAGCATACCATAGCATAGCATAGCTCAGCATAGCATCGCATATCATAGCATAGCATAGCTCAGCATAGCATAGCGCAGCATAGCATAGATGCAGGTGTATATTTGAATGTAGCTGTCGGTGTAGATGTAGATGTTGCTTTCCTAAATGCTCCAACTCCCAGGTAGGGTCGCACTGGGATAATTTGTTGCTTAGGCCAAAACGCGCGTTATGGCCCCCCGCCTTCCCCCTATAACGTAACGCTCAGGTTCCCAGTGCCGCTCGTCGTCGTCGTCGTCGTCGTCGTTGTCGTCGTCGTGGACGCTCGTCGTCGTCGTCGCTTGTTGTCGTCGTCGTCGTCGTCGTGGTCGTCGTCGTCGTCGTCGTCGTCGTTGTCGTTCGTCTTCGTCGTCGTCGCTCGTCGTCGTCGCTCGATGTCGTCGTGGCCGCTCGTTGTCGTCGTCGTCGTCGCTCGTCGTCGTCGCCGTCGTCGTCGTCGTCGTCATCGTCGTCGCTCGTCGTTTATTGCCGCAAGTACAGGAAGGGGCCTGTAAATGGATCCAGTAAACCACACTTCGCGCACCACGCCGCCGCAACCCGCTCCCCGTCTCCCCCATCACCCCTCCTCACGCAGGTTGCGTCTCCTGGGAGGTCAAGATGAGTTCGGCATCAGCACTGGTAGTTCCTTGGATCAGTCCTGGCCGAGACGAGCGCACTCCGTCGCAATTTTGTTAGTTTGGCTAAATCCAGGCTTCATGCGGCCTGATCTGGCAGATCAGCCCCTTGATCGGGCTGATGTGCTTGTACTCGCCCTCGCGAAGCCCCCCCCCTCCCTCCTCCCTCCGCCCCCCTCTTCCTGTTTCCTTCTCCCCCCCAGCCCCCCCCCAACGACATACTGGTTGGACAAAAGCCAGCGGTGTTTCTGGCAAGATCTCCAGCAATCCCATCGTTTTGCTCCATAACTGCCATGTCCTCGAGTGGTACGCCATGGTGGTACACCAGGCCTGTGGTCCCACTAACGGGGCCTAGGCGCCCCAGAGCCATGCCCTTGCAGGTCTCATTGGGCGGTGGCGAGGGGGATCAGGCTCAGCGGTACCAGATCAGTGAGCGTCTCAAAGGCTTGCCGATTGACCCCCCCTTCCCTCCCTGCCCACCCCCCGCCTGCCAAGCTGGCGCTCGAGTTCCGGCAGCTCGCGGGCGCGCTGCCCGAGGCCCGTGGCGGCCAGCCGAAGGCTCCTCGCGGCCGACGCCGCCGCCGCCCACGCCGCCGATGCCGACGACGCCACAGTCGCCGACGCTGCCGCCGACGATGCCGCCGACGGGGCCGATGACGACGGCGTTGACGGCGGCGGCGAGGCGGCGTCGAGCACCACGATGGCGTCGTCGAGGACCACGGAGGACGACGACGACGTCGACGTCGACGTAGCGAGACGGCGCCGCCGCCGCCGCCGACAACGACGACGACGACGGCGGCGGCGATGTCCGAGGATCGATGATGTGTTTTTGTGTGTACTTTTCTCCTCCCCTCCTGACGAGGCTTGCCCCGCCCAGTGGAGTTCTGCTGCCTGCAGCAGTTCCTCCCACGGCAGAGGTGCTCTCGGGCGGTGCCCCTCTCATGAGCCTCCCGTGGGCCTCCCGAGCGTGCCCGCTCGTTTGCGGGCGCACTGCGCGACCTCGATCCTGGATCTTTGATCCTCGATCGTCGATGATCGATCCTCTATACTAGAACGTCGAGTCTCGAGCCTCGATGCTCGATTCTCGATCTTCGATCCTCGAACGTCGAGACTCGAGCCTCGATGCTCGACTCGCGATCTTCCATCCTCGATCTCCGATCCTGGAGCCTCGATCCTCGATCCTCGTCGCCAGCGCAGCTGCCAGGAAACGCCATCCCGGCGTGGGCGCGGAAGCATATCCGTACCCGCGGCATCGCGGGCTGGGCCCCTGGGCCGCGACCCCGCGGATGCGGGGCGTGTTTCGCGGATGCCCCGCGCGGAGATTGCCCGTGCCACGCGTAGCCACCGCGCATCCGCGGGACAATGCGACCCAGAGCCCAGTCCGTGAGGGCTCGCCGCTCGTGGGGTGCACGGGCCTTCACGGAAGGCGGCGGGGCTTGGGAGCGCGAGGGGCGAGCGAGGGTGGGGGGGAGCGAGAAGGAGAAGGCCTTCCCAGAAGGTTCAAGAGTCCCCCAGCCTTCCGAGAAGTTTTCGAAGCCTTCCCCGAAGACGCAAAGCCCTTCCTCGAAGGCGCGAGGGCCCCCTCCTTCTCACTTCCCCCCCCCCGCTCGCCGCCGACCCTGGGCCGGATGCGGGAGCATCTTTTGCGGGTGCCCCTCGCAGAAGGTGCCCGTGCCGCCGCGAATTCCGCGGGGATCGCGCCCCAGTGTCCAGTCCGTGAGGGCTCGTCACTCGCGGGGGCAGGCCTCCTCAGCAGGCGGCGGGGCTTCGAAGAAGGCACAGGGGATCCTCGAGCACAGAAAATACCCTTTACCCGAATAAGACGATGAAGACGTGACCTCCCGGAGGTCCCCGTCTTCGCATCCGGGATAATGGATAATAGTTCTGGGCGGTTTAGTCTGATACACCCGCAGGCTAGACCTTTGTGGCCCCCGGAAACGGCAGGGCAGTTTTTTCACCGTTTCCCAAAAAATGTTCCTTGAAAATGGAAGCGGTAAAAACACAACGACCGGAAACGGCAAACAAAACGGCTCCAGGATTGGAGCCGGAGCCGGAACCGGTCAAAAAACGGCGGCGGAACCGGTAAAAAAACGGCGTTAGAGCCGGCAAAAAAAGGCACAACGGAACCGGTAACAAAAACGGCCTGGTCGTTTCTAGGGCCCATTAAGGGCTAGACCCCCTACTACTGCTTCTGGCCCTCCTATAGGTCCCCTCCCAGAGGGTTAGGGTTTGCTTCTCTGCTAGTCAGAAGCCCCTCTGGAGGTTCGTCGGGAAGCTCCCCCGAGAGTGCCGCAGCCTCAACCACGAGAGGCTCTCTCTCTCTCTCTCTCTCTCTCCGAGCGTGCGGGCCCGCTTTCCCCGGCGGCCACCGGGCCCCTCCGCACGCGACTCCCTGCCGGGAGGCTCCCTCTCCGGGCGCGTCGAGCGGTCGGATGACGGCCCTCCTGGCGGCCACCCAGCGGCCGCGGCGCCTTTGGCGGTGTTACTCATCGTCGTCGTCCTCGTCATCGTCATCGTCCTCGTCCTCGTCCTCGTCCTCGTCCTCGTCGTCGAGCTCCTGAGCGGCACAGGGGCCCCCCGCCGATCCCCCCGAGAGCAACAGCCGGAGGTGTTCGGCGGCCCAGTCCACGAAAGCAGACACAACTCGAGTGGCCCATTAGGGCCACTCGCACGGCCGCTCGGGCTACGCGGGCCCAAGGGGCCCAGCCCGCTACTCCCGGGGGGAAGGAGGAGGGAAGGGCAGGAGAGACGAGGAGAAGGAGGGAGGACGTTCCTAGTGGCAGGATGCTGCAGAGGTTGCTTGGCAAAGGCCTCCACCCCAAGAATGGCAGGGCCGCAGTCGAGCTTGGCTCTTGTTGCCCCGTCCAGCTGGGGCCATTGGAGGTGGATGTCAATCTCGTCTTCGTCGTCGTCTTTCTCCTCCATCTCGTCGTCGTCCTCTGTCTTGGCCTCCTGGGACGAGCACGACGGATGGCCGCCGACAGCAGTCGGAGTTTGTTCTGGTGCCTCCCCTCGGCATCCTCGCACTCTTCGTCGAGCTTGCAACGGCGAGTACGCGTCTCCCCGGCCCTCACAAAAGCACGAACCTGAGATTGCTCGGCAGGGGCCTGCATCCCCAGGAAGGGCACGATCACCTTAGAGCTGGGCCCATTTTGCCCTGTTTGGGTGAGGCCATTGGCGGTGGATTCGAGGAACGAAGAATGACATAAACATGAAAACACGGAGGTCCGCGCGGATTTGTCGGATCGGCGCTGAACCCCCCTCCCTGGCGCGCGGAGCGCGCCAGGGGCGGCGCCGGAGGCGCCGCCAGTGGGGTCCAGTGCGGATCCGAGAAATCCGCGCGGACCTCCGAGTTTTCATGTTTATGGCAGTCTTCGTTCCCCTTATCCGCCTCCCTCTCGCCGTCATCGTCGTCCTCCTCTCGTTGTTCTCCCCGCCGTCCTCTGCCATGGGTCCCCTGCGACGTGCACAGCGGGCGTGGCCGCCGACAACCGTCGCAGTGATCGGAGGTGGATCGACCTCCTACCCTGACACGTCGATTAAAGAATTGGCCGTTTTCGCTTCTCGAGAGGGCGTCGCGGCCGTCATTCTGCGGGTCCAGGTCCGTCGGGTTTCGGTCCCAGGCCGTTTTCACTCAGGGGGGGTGTACTCTGAAGGGAGGTTTGTCCACCGCCGACGTGGGCCCCCTGCGACGTGCACAGCGGAAGTGGCCGCAGACAACCGTCGCAGCGAGTCTGGGGCCGTCCCCCGCGCCTCGGGAGAGGCCTCCGCGGCGAGGGGGGGCGGCCTCCCCGGGCGCCCTGGCGCTCTCAGGCTCGCGTCGGGCCCGTCCCTTGACAGGAGGAATGTTCACAACTAGCCCAAACAGATCGTATGGGGACGATTTTCCTGCTACGTCTGATTCTTGTTTGGTTCAAGGGCGTAAAAAAACGCCCCTACCCTGGTTTGCGAGGCGCTGTGCGCTGAACCTCCTGTGGGCTGGCAGGGTAGACCCTGCATATCGCGAGTGTCGCGCGGCGTCCTGGCGGCTCTCTGGCCTCTGGGAGCTCCCAGGAGGTTTACGGACCACGCGCTAGTAACCCAGGGTAGGGGCGTTTTTGCAGCCCTCAATGGGCTATTGTTTGGCTTGGCTGTGCTTCGTTGTCCTTCCAGAATCCGCCTGTAGAGGGACGTGCACGACCCAATCCGAGGCCCCTCTGGTCACTGAGGCTCTCCTTAAGTAAGACGGGGGCAACATAAAACTAGCCAAGACACATCGTATGGGGACGATTTTCCTACTGCGTCTGATTATTGCTTGGCTAGTTTGTCGACTATGCTTCGCCTTCCTTCCAGGATCCGCCCGTAGGGGGGACCTGCCCGACCCGGTCCCAGGCCCCCTCTGGTCACCGAGGCTCTCCTGCACGGTCGCCCCGGGCGCCCGTGGAGCTCGAGCTTGGACGGGCCCCGGAGGGCGGCCGCCGCGGGCCCCCGAGGGGGCACGGTGCGCCCAGGGAGCGGTGTGGCCACGCTGCGCCTCGCAGGCGAGTGGCGTGGCGCTCCGTTCCGCTGGCCGGGAGGCCGGGAGGAGCTCGGGGCATCGACGCACTGGGGGCCGAGACGTGCTCAGCGTGTCGTGCCGAGGCGTGTTGGACCAGAGCCGTCGGCGCGACACGCTGAGCCAGTTTGGGGGTTGTGAGGGAGACGTGGGGGACTGATGAGGACGGATGGGAGGAGGGGAGGTGAGAGGAGGGAGCAGGGAGAGGGGGGCAAGAGGGGGGGGGAATTGGATGAGGAGAAGGTGGAGGACCTTCTCCTCATCTTCCAACGCCCCCCTCCCTCGTCTTTCTCCTCTCCCCTCTCCCTACTCTTCCTACCCCCTCCTCCCTCCCAAGAATCCCCTTGACCAAGGGTGAAGGAGTGGGAGAAGTACCACAGGGAGGATAATGAGGAGAGCGGTGGAGTCGAGGGGGAGGACGGATGAGTATCTCTCCTCATTCTCTTGCTCCCTCCTCCTCCCTTCCCCCCTACACAATCATCCTCCTCCTCGCTCCCTCCTCTTCTCCTCCTCTTCTCCTCCTCCTCCTGATCATGCTCCTACACCTCATCATCCTCGTGCTCCTCCTCGTGCTCCTCCTCCTCCTCATCCTGGCCCTGCTCCTCCACCTCATCACTCTCTTCCCCCCCCCCATTCCTCCTCCTGCTCGCTCGCTCCCGCGTCCTCCTCCTCCTCCTCCTCCTCCTCCTCCTTCACCTCCTCTCCCTCCTCCTCCTCCTCCTCCTCCTCCTCCTCCTCCTCCTCCTCCTCCTCCTTCCCCTCCTCGTCCTCCTTCTCCTCCTCCTCCTCCTCCTCCTCCTCCTCCTCCTCCTCCTTCTCCTCCTTCAGGCCATCGGGGTGTGTGCTTGCATGCCTCCTGGTCACCCGTTTGGTCCCGATGGCATGAGGTCCTTGCGGGTATGGCATGTCAGGCGAGGACCATTCCGAAAATGGGCCGATCACTGTTGAGGGGGGGCCAGCGAGGGACGAGGTGGGAGTGAGGATGCCAGGCCGCATATACCCTCCACCATCACTGCTAATGGGCGAGAGTGCTTACGTAAGTATTTTCAGCAGGGGCCTTAGGCCAAAGGCTCCGTCTTCGTGAGGTGTTTGTTCTGACAACGTCAGGGCCCCGCTGGGCGGGGACCGCGACGCCCGAGGCCACGTTCGAGCCCGCGGCCAGGGTTGGCATCGGCGGCGCGGTGCCCAGCACGGCGCAGGTGGGCTCCCTGCAACGGCGGACGGCGGCGTCCATTCATTGCCCAAGGGTTTGCTTCTGAACCAATGCGGCGTCTGAGCCCCTTCGGCCGCCGAACGGATTTTAAAAGCGGTCCCACGCGGCCGCCGAACGGGCCAGATTCCCACCAGCCTCTTGGATTGGGGCCCATTGGGCTGCCCATTGGGCGGCCGAACGGGCTTACGCGCCGAATGGAATGGGCTCAGAGGGGAAACCTGGGGTGTCGGTGTGGAACAATCGCGTCGGAGTTTGGCAGTTTTCGGTCCCTTGGGGCTCTGACTGGGCTCACGGGGCCAAGGGACCGCCAGCGAACCGACCCGGATGAAGTTCTGGTCCTGGGGGAGGGGGTCCTGGGGCCGGGCATGTGCAGGGGGCGGGCCTTCTCCTCCCCCTCCTCTTCCTCCTCCTCCTCCTCCTCCTCCTCCTCCTCCTCCTCTTCCTTCTCCTCCTCCTCTTCCTCCTCCTCGTCCTCCTCCTCATCCACCTCCTCCTCCTCCTCCTCCTCCTCCTCCTCCTCTTCCTCCTCCTCCTCCTCCTCCTCCTCCTCCTCCTACTTCTACTCCTCCTCAGACGGGTCAGACGGGCCTCGGGCCTTCCAGGGACCGTTCTTTGAAGTATGCGCCGCGGGACCGTCCCCTCGGCGCGTCGCCGAAACGCCACTGCAGTCGGCCTGACAGTGTTCGGGCGTGTGCAGCTGGTCCTCGGCGGGGGCAGATCGAGGAGCATCTCGGGCCCTCGTGCGAAGAATGGCGCGCGACACCGACACTGCACAGGGAGTGGGCGTCCGAGCGACGGCGAGTCCGTGGGCGGAGAGGAGCAGGAGGCGGCATGAACAAACACTTTCGAGGTTCCGCGCGGAGTTCTCGGATCGGCGCTGGGCCCCTTTGGCGGCGCATCTGTCGCCGCTGCTGGCGCGCCCCGCGCGCCAGGAGGGGGGGGCCCCAGCGCGGACCCCAGAAATCCGCACGGACCTTCGAACGCTTATGCAAGTGTGGTTCTCCTCAGAGTTCTCCTCTTCCCTTGTCAGAACGGATCGTTTGGGATCGCTCCTCCTGCCTCTCCCTCCCTACTCCCTGCATGTTTTTTCTTGCTCCTCCTTTCTCCTGTCGCGACGGCAGCGGACGACGACGTCGTCGATGGATGATCGTGGCGGACGAAAGGGTGGGGCATGGGAAGGGGGGGGGTGCTGCGAAAACTTCGGCATGACGCTGGTTTCGTCCCACCCGCTGGGCGCCTTCCTCGATACATGGGCGCCTCTGGCGCTGGGAGGCGCCGGGAAAACCAGCTACGTGAGCTGATTCGCTCATCCACCTTCGCAATTCCTCCCTTTCTTCAGGCCCGAGCAGCCACGAAGCAATGGGGGTCCTGATGGAAACGGGTCCTGCACTTGTTTCGCCGTTGTCGGCTTCCCGGGTCTCTCCACGGGCCCCGTGACTGTCGAAAGACTGCTTAGGATCAGCAGCCACCCAGAAATTTTCAAAATTCTGCGTTCTCGACAAACCGTACAGAAATCTTGAACAGTCAGAAACGCTCCCTCCTACAAATCGTCAGAACCGTTCAAAACCCATTCAGGATCATTGAAGAACCTGGAGGGTCTGGGGCAACACGTAGCATGAAGGAGATTGTTGCTTGGAGGCGTCGCTCTTCCTCAAGCGCGCCCACCCGTCCCTGGCCCCGAAAGCCGATGGGCCTCTGGCCCAAATCGCCCCCTGGCGAACTCCAGGTGCGTAAGGAGACACCCGCAGTTGAGTAGTCGATCCTCCCGCGCACGGTGGGGTGTGCTTGGCGTAGCAGTCTTGCATCCTCTCTTCTAGACAGTTGCCGCCACGCTGCTCCCCCTGCTCTTTCTGGTCTTCCGTGCACCCTTGAGACCTCGATCTCGCCGCCCCGCAACCCCGATTCATGCATCTGCACGTCAGCCTGATTATGGGTCTTTCCAGAAGGCCCCTGGGCAAAAGAAGACAGCGTGGTGTAGACGAGCTGTCGACGAGAGTTGTTGACAGCCACTGCCAAGTTTTCGGCCCAAGAGCTCGATTCTGATTGCCGGTGCGGAATTCGCAAGTCTCCGACATACACCGCAGGCGGCTGAACAGTTCTTGATCTCATGTGAAGATTCAGGGGTCTGCGCTGACCTCCTGGCAAAGACATCCGCTCGGACCTCCAGAAGTCGATGCCTACGCGCGCCTCTGGAGTCTCTTGCCTCGGCCCCGCCTTCCCCCTCTCTCCCAGTTCCCCCCCCCTCTCCTCCGTGGGGCCGCGCGAACGAGCCCCAGCCCCACTCACAACATGGACCGCCTGAGGCCCCGAGCCCTTCCCTGGGACTGACTCCTCGCCGTGTGTGGAGTTCCGACGCTCCGCGGGGTGCGAATTTTTCCATGTGCCAGCAGCAGCGGGTACCGTTCTAAGCCGCGGAGGAACGTGGCATCCCATGCAGAGGCGCTGACCACGAAGCCACCCGAGAGGGGGGGGGGGCGAGGCACTTGTCCCTCTGGTCCCCCTCCTGTTCCTCCTCCCGCACCTCCTACGAATATCGCTTGCCGGAGCTCGGCAGCGCATGGCCTGAGGAGGCCGGGTCGCCGAGCATCCGTGGTGTTTCCTAAATGTCAGGCGGATGTGTCACAGCCCAGTTCTTTCAGGCACTGTCGGAGGCGCCACCCGCCTGTGGGCCACCTTCGCCCTCGCAGTGGCAGAAGTGGTCGTGGCGCGGTGCAGCCCACGGTGCGACAACGGCGAAAGACTTGCTGGTGAGGGGGGGGCAGGAGCCAGCGGCAGCGAACGAGGGCAGCTCCTCCGCGGTTCCCGCGGCGGGTCCAGGCGGCGCCGCCGGCGACGGCCGTGGAGAACTCCGGCGACGCGAGTTTCGCGTCCGCAAGCGCCTCCGCGAGCCACTCGAGGAAGGTCGGGGTGCTGCTTCGGGCCAGGGTCGGGGGCAGCGCTAAGACGCAAAAGGGCGTTGAATCCGCCGCCCCCTGTTGATTCATCATAGGGGTGCCCGGCGTGCTGAATCCTTTCGCTTCTGGTTCTGGTTCTTTTCCAAAGAACTCCCCCTGGGGTTTCGGCCCCGCCCGCCGGGGTCCCGGAATGGCCCGGAAAGGGTGGTTCCAAAAGTTGTTTTTGCTCCAGATGGCTCCAAGATGGCTTCCAAGATGGCCCAAGATGGCCTCCAGGTTCACCCAAGATGGTCCAAGATGGCCTCCAAGATGGCCCAGGAGAGTCCAAGATGCCTCCAAGTTTGCACGAGGAACCTCTCAGACGGCCCGAGACGGCCCCAGAGGCCTCCAAGACGGCCCAAGAGGCCTCCAAGAGGTCCTTCTCCACGAGAGCCCGAAGAGGTCAAAATCAATGTGTTCGTTGGGTTTTTGAAGGATTTTGGCTTTTGCTCTGTTCGAGCCTTCCGACGGCTCACGACGGCCCAAGGAGCCCGAAAGATCGCCCCGATTAGCGCCCAAGAGGCTTCCAAGATGGCCCAACACGGCCCCAAGAGGGCGCCAAGACGGCTCCAGAGGCCTCCACGACGCCCAAGACGGTCTCCAAGACGGCCAAGATGGTTTCCAAGATGCTTCCAACACGGTCAAGATGAGTTTCAAGACGGCCAAGATGGCCCAAGATGGGCCCGAGAGTTTCCAAGATTGCCCCGGAGGAGTCCAAGAGGTGCTCCAGGAAGGCCCGAGGGAGCCAACATCTTAAATTTGTCCTTGGGTTTTTGAAGGAGTATTGTGTTTCCTCGGTTTGGGTGTTCCGACCGCCTACGTAAGACGGCCCAACGAGTCCCCAAACTAGTCCCAGAGGCCTCCCAGATGGCTCCAGAACGGCCCACGAGGCCTGCAAGTCAGCCCCAAGAGGGCCCCAAGACGGCCCAAGAGGTTTCAAGAACGGCCAAGATAGTCTCCAAGATATCTCAAGACTGCCACGATGACCTCCAAGACGACCGACCAAGATGGCATCCAAGACGGCAGAAATATCCTCAAGAGAGCCGAAGGTGGCCCAAGAAGCGCCCAAGATGCCTCAAATACAGCCCAAGAGGCCTCCAAGAGCTCCATCAGGAAGGCCCGAAGAGGCCAAACTCATTAATTGTTCGTTTGGTTTTTAAAGGATTTGGTCGTTTTCTTCTTTTCAGCTCTCCGACGGCCCAAGACGGCCCAAAAGGCCTCTAAAATCGCCCCAAGAGCGTCCAAGAGGCCTCCAAGATGGCTCCATGACAGGCCAAGAGGCCCCCAATAGAATAGGGCCCAAGCAAGACCCCAAGACGGCCCAATAGGCCCCCAAGACGCCCAAGATGGCCTCCAAGACGGCCAAGATGGCCTCCAAGATGGCCTCCAAGACGGCCAATAAGGTCTCCGAGACGTGGAAGATGGCCCCAAAATGCACCCAAGACGGTCCCAGATGGCCTGAAGATGGCCTTAGACTGCCCGAAAGGACCGCCAGAGGCCTCCAAGACGGCCCAAGACCCCTCCAAGACGTCTTCCAGGAGCCCGAAAGCTCGGAAACCACCTAGTCCGATAGCTCGCCCGACTTCGTGTTCCCCGAAGGCTTTCGAAACCCACTCGGGGAACGCGTGGCCCGATAGCTTGGACAAGCTCAAGCCCAACTTTCGACCACGCAGGCGCTTCCAAAAAGGCAGGGGGCGGCGGTGATTCGCCGCAGGCGTCCTCGAATCGAGGGGCATGCTGGGCCAGGGAAATTTGGGAACTCTGCCCATCCCCTCTCCCGCGGATTCTTCAACCGCACGGTGCGCCCGTCAGCGCTGCGACCACAAATAGGAGAACGACGAACGACATAAACATAGAAACTCTGATGTCCGCGCGGATTTCTCGGATCCGCGCTGGACCCCTCTCCCTGGCGCGCGGAGCGCGCCAGGGGCGGCGCCGGAGGCGCCGCCAGGGGGCCCCAGCGCCGATCCGAGAAATCCGCGCGGACCTCCGAGGTTGTATGTTGGTGTCATTCTTCGTTCCCCTAACAATAGCACTTGCATTGGAGCAAGTCCTCGCGGAGCGCCTCTGGGGGCAGCCTCTTCGGCGGGAAGGCCAGAGTGTGTCGCCGCGCCGTCGGTTCCGACGCGCGGCCTTTACACGCTTTCGGGGGCGCACCTCGGCCACGAGGGCAAAACTCCGCCTCGGACGCAGAGTCAGCCGTGGCTTTGCCGCGATGCGGGCCTCGTTTGCGTGAGCGCGTTGAGCACAAGCGGCTCGGCCACACATACCGATATCGCTGCTCCCTGGACCTCTCCCAGGGTGCGTTCTGACAAGAAGTTCGAGGCGAATCCAGCGGTGGCGACACCACGTACATCCAAGGACGCCCAAAAAGGCGAGATTTGGGCAAGGGTAGCGGTATCGGTCCCTTTTCTTTTCCATTTCGTGGAGCAATCTTTTAGCCCAAAAACGATCTCGGGAGCCTTCCCGGCGCCCTCCGATCGGCGTCCCCGTCACAACGCAACCTCCCACGCCCACCCGGAAGCACGACGAGCGTGCCTTTGTTGCAGACGTTTCGCATCGCACGTCGCTGCAGCGTAAAGTTTCGGGCCCACTTCCCAAGAACCCGAGTCGCACTGGATGTAAGCATCTAGCCCCTGGAGGCTCGATGTTTATCCATATCGAGTGCTCCTCGGCCTTGCGGCGCCCCGTCCAAGGAGAGTCCAAGACGCATTGACTACGGATATAAGGATTGGCCGCGCTCTGGGTGCGCGGCCGAACGTTTGCGGACGCCTCTCGAACAAAACAGGTCCCCTGGCGAAGGACCGAGCCAGATGCAGTTGTGAGCGCCGCGATTGTGCACCGCCTTCGGTTGAGGGAGGAGGGGGAGGAGGGGGAGGAGGAGAGATGCGGGCCGCTGCCTCCCGTCCGGGAACAGATATGAACATTCTTCCTCGGAGGTCCGCGCGAGTTTCCTGGATCGGGGCTGGCCGCTCCCTGCGCGCTCCGCGCGCCAGGGAGGAGGGACAAGCGACGATCCAGGACGTCCCCGCGGCCCTCCGAGAGATTGAGCATTTTATGCTTATTATTCTCTTTCATGGAAATTCCCCTGCCTCGGGATGCGGCCCAGCAGCCTCGCCTTGCCGAGAGCGTCCCGGGTGATGCCTCGATCGTCCCGAGCGGTTGCCAGAGGAGACCCCCCGAGGTGTGATCTGGTGGGCACAGGCGTATGAGTGACCCTTCGCGGGAGTGGCCCCTGTCGCGCGGCGTCCGGCGGGGTGAGGGTGGGGGAGGGGTGGGGGTGGGGTGGGGGTGGGGTGGGGTGGGGTGTGGGGGGGGGGGCAAAACCCAGGCTCAATCCAGCATGCTGCTTGGAGGCAAATGTTGGAAGGCCTTCGCCGGAAGGATGCAGCACTGTCCATCGCGCCGGAAGAACGAAGGTCGCGCCAGGCCATGGCCCAGGGTAGTTGTGGCCAGGCGATCTGGTGGACCAACCTGCGCTTCGTTGCATTGCCTCCCTTCTTTTGTCTCGCTCGCTTTCCCTCGTCGTCGTAGTCGTCGTCGTCGTCGTCGTCGTCGTCGTCGTCTCTTCTGCCCATCCCCCCTCCAACGTTGCGCACGGCGCCTGCAGATGACACGCTTTCCTCTCCAGCCGTCCAGGGGAACCGGGCTCGCAGCCACATCGTCCAGTGCCTTGATATCTTACGTCGCGAACGAAACACTGAAACAGAGTGAAATATCGAGTATCACGACCAGAGCCCCGAGCCCCATCTTCCTGCCCCATCATCTTCCTTCTCGAGCTGGACCGATCCGCTGGTGTATCCGTGGTCGGAAACCTGCCTCATCTGGCATAGTCCCGCGCACCTCTGCTCCATTGACTCGGTGCTGGGCTCACGTAATCTGGGCTTATGTAGCATCATGGCGCTCAGTCGTTCTTGCGAACGCCTCTCAGGAGATGCCTCCCCAAAACAATAGATGCCAGTGGGGTGGGAGATGCGGCCGACGATGAGGAGGAGGGTGGGGAGGGAAGAGGAGGAGGAGGAGGAGGAGGAGGAGGAGGAGGAGATCGAACAGGACGAGGCGGAGGAGGAGGAGGACGAGGAGGAGGAGGAGGAGGAGGAGGAAGAGGAGGAGGGGAGGTCCACCCCGATCGCCTGGGCGCGGCCGTGGCGCAGCTGCAGGGGCACCGGGAGTCGGACAAGCGCCGCCTGCTGCAGCTGGAGCAGAGGCTCCCCCCTGGAGATGCAAGGATCGACTGGCTGCGCCCACAGGGTCAGAGGAGGAGGAAACAAAAACACACAGACACAAATGATCGTCGATTCCCCAGAACATTAGGAAACCATGGGAGGTGGGGGGTGGGGAGGCGAAAACCTAGAACATCCATAAACAAATACGAGGGAATCCTGGGATCTGTGTTTGTTCACTTGTGTGCCCCAGGGCCACCTCTGTCAGGGGAGGGCGGGTCAAGACCCCGGAGGTTGGCCCTCGGGGGGCCCCTCGTCGCCACGGCTGCACGCACCCCTGAAGGGGCCCGGGGACACACACATGAATACACACAAATAACAGGAGGTTCCCCATATTTTCTTATATTTTCTGGGTTTTGTGTCTTCCCCCCACTTGTCATACTTTCCCATATTTTCTGGGGAATTGACGATTTATTGCGTCTGTGTGTGTTCCCCTCCTGAACCTCGAGCAGCTGGTGCGCCTGGACCCCCAGAAGGGGGCCGGGGACCGATGTCGAGCTGCCGTTGGCTCAACTCGCCCTGCTGAGGCGGCGGGGGGCTTCCAAGAAAACAGATGGGGTGGGGTTCTCAGAGTCCCTCGTGGCCTCCAGGAGGCCCTCTCAGAAGCCGTCGGGCCCTTTAGAAAGGTCCCTGATGTCTAAGGAGCCCCCAGGCTTACAAGCCGACCCTCTTGCCCCACCCCCTTGCCTTGTTTGCGCCGCCAAAATCGAGGTTCGAGCATCGAGGCTCGACGCATGGGGACGGATGCCGATGCCGCTCCTCCTCCCGCGTCTCCGCGGCTGGATTCGCCTCGAAACCCTGAGAGAGGTCCGTGGCATATCGGTGTACTTTGCTGCTCCACGATCGATGATCGAGGTTCGAGGCCGGCGGGTCGAGATGCCTGAAGGGCACCAGAAGACTGAATAAACATACTTTCGGAGGTCCGCGCGCTTGCAGCGGTGTTCGGCGCCGTCCCAAGAATCCGCACGGACCTCCGATAGTGCATGTTTACGGAATGTGTTGTTCCTGTATTAGGTGTCGAGGACCGAGGTTCGAGAAATTTGGATAGAGGTTCGAAGATCGACGTTCGAAAACCGATGTTCGAGATTCGAGGATCGAGGTTCGAACATCGAGGATTGCGGTTCGAGGCTCGAGGTTCGAGGGCTCAGGTTGTTCAACGTTTTAGTCTTTCTGTTGGTTGTCCGTCCCTCAGTCCTCCAGGGACCTCCAGATGGGTACCTCCAGAGATGGTTGTGCTTGTCTTACGGTATACTGTGTTTTTGCCTCTCGGATCCTTGGGTCTGGTCCGCCACCGCCACCAGAGCCTCGTGCTGTAAAGTGGCGTCCATTATCCTCCTTTTCTCTCTCCCTCTCTCTCCCTCTCGTCTCTCTCTCTCTCTCTCTCTCTCTCTCTCTCTCCTCTCTCTCTCTCTCTTCCTCTCATTGCGTTCTCGCCGCCACCATGGTGTTGATAGAGTTTCGGGCCTTTGTCTACGACTGTGCTTGCCTCTGTCCGCTGCTGTCTGCCATTCGCGTTTCCTCCCTCCCCGCCTCGCTCCTCCCACCTTTGTTCCTGCTGTGTGTCTTAACATTGCATGCATGGCCGTTTGGGCCGTAGGGGACCGTCGCACAGCGCCCTTGCCCCTTCTCCTCTTCCCCCTCCCGTGCGCATGCTCGGTTGCGCCCGTGCCAGTGGTATTTGCGCGGAACTACATGCCAGGCGAACGGCGAACGGGCCCGAGGGACATAGAGTCGGGTGAGCGTTCGCGAGTAAAGATGATGGACACCTCTGGAGGCCGTCGTCGTCGTCGTCGTCGCCTCTCCTCCTCGACGTTTTCGTCTCCGTCGACGTGGTCGTCGTCGCCGTCGTCGTCGTCGTAATCGTCATCGTCGTCGTCGTCGTTGTCGTCGTCCTTCGTCGCCGCCGCCGTCGCCGTCGCTGTTGCCGTCACCGTCGCCGTCGCTGATGCCGTCGCCGTCGCCGTCATATTTGTCATCGCCGTAGGACCCATCGAAGTCTCCGCGAGAAAAACGGCGACGGCGAAGATGGCGGCGGTGGCGACGATGACGACGGCGGCCAGCGGCGGTCCAATGGAGCGGCTGGCCTCTAATGGCTGCCGGCACTGGCCGACGGCCGCTCCGCGACGACAACGACGACGACGTGCATCGCCATGGTGGCGAAGGGGTCCCTGAGGGAAGCGTGTCCAGCAGTGGGCACATACGATAACGCAATGTTTGCATACGAAATCTAGGCCACATCCTGTTTCGTCTACCCTGAGCTTCGTAATTTAAGCTAGGCCTCTGCGGGCCCATCGGGACATGAGACATTTTCGTGGGGAGCCCCTTGGCAGGCCAATTTCTGATATGCTGTGCTCACTGTGCAGACCATGAGGGAGCTCTTCCATCGGGGACTTGTGCTTAGCCTGTCGAGCCGAGAGTTCTGGCCCACCACGCTTCGGCGCGACACGCTAACAACGCCCCAGTCCCCAGGCGTCGACGTCCCCAGCCTTTTCCAGCCTCCCGTCCCCCGGAGCAGGGCGATACGCTACCCGCTCGTGGCATAGCGTCTCGCCAGGGCCGCCGCCGCGACACGGTAAGCGAATGTCCCTGACCGTACACCCCGGGGCCTTCCTCAGAACCAGCTCTTCATTCTGAGGGGCTGTTTGACTGCCCTGGAGTTTGTGGAGGGCCTCAGCAGGGGGCCCGGAAACGGCGGAACAGCTCTTGGAGCCCCTTCCCTCCAGGATCCGTTTTCCTGTCATGCTCAGGCGACGACACAACGACGACGATGACGACGACGGACGGTGGACGACGGACGACAGACGAACAACAACCGACGACGACGACGACGACGACGACGGCGATGACGACGATGACGACGACGACGACGACGACGACGACGACGACGACGACGACGACGACGACGACGTCCGACGACGTCCGACGACGAACGGCGACGACGACGACGACGATGCGCGACCGACCGACTCACCGACCGATGGACCGACCACGACCGACCACGACCGACCCGCGCGGCCGGCTGGTCCCGCGCGAACCAGCGGCCAGCGGTGGCTTGTGGCGGGCGGCGGGTGGGGGCGCCGCGCCAGGCTCGCGCTGCAGCTGTCGGAGGCCGCCTCGCCGGCGGCAGCGCTTGCGCGCCTGGCCGAGGCGCAGGGCAGCGTGTGTGCGCTGTCGGAGGAGGTGCAGGCGCCCCTGTCCGCAGGCGAGGACTCGAAGAGGAAAGAACTGGACAGAAGCATAGCTGTTCGGAGATCTGCGCGGATTTCTTGGGTCTGCGCAGGGCCTCGGTGGCGACACCTCTGGCGCCGCCCCTGACGAGCTACACGCGCCCAGCGCCGGTCTAAGAGATCCGCTCGGAGTTCTGGAAGTGTGCAGCTAGTCGTTGTTCTAAAGGTAGAAGTTCTCGATTTGCAGATCTTGCTGTGTGTCTCTTTGGGGGTCTTCGGGCCCACGGTGCTGTCCATCAGCTGCGCCTCGTCGAGAGGCTTTTGGGGTTGCCCAGGTATTCCCGAACTCGTTAGCCCGAGGCTCGTTCGAGCTGTGGTCTGAAAGCCTAGGTTTTGTGAGGTTACACCATAGGTTTGGCGCCGCGCACATGGGGTGGCGCGAGTGTCCGGCAGCCTTCTAAGGAAGGCGGTTTGGGCCTCTTGGCAGGCAGAGGGCCTTCTGAGAAGAAGGGCCTTGAGGCTTCCAAATCATGTTTCTCGGTTCCTTCTCCGGCTCTTCTCGTGCGCTCGCGCAGCCGCGGTCAAGAACGTACGTGCTCGTTCCCTGGCTGGGATTATTTTGGTCGTGCGACTTCGACTGCAATCTCATCTCGCAGGTTTGTTAATGTCGCACACGCAGACGCTACGGTCGGGGCGTTGGTTGGGGACCCAGGAGGATTCCTTATCTGGTGAGGGCGGTGGTGATGTTTCCACGATCCGACTTTTTCAGGCCTCAAGACTCTGGATTCCTTATTCGTGGCTTCTGCATCCCATGCGCTCGCCGTAAGATTCCACACCCTGGCGGTTTGGCGAAGGCCGTACGCACAGCGGCGCGGCGAAGCCGGTCGGCAGGCGGAGGAGACCCAGAGCGCGCGCCTGGCATGCGCGCAGCAGGCAGGCGAGGCAGCTCACAGGGCCCACCCGTGGCGAGCCACGCTGTGCGTGAGCCCACGGAGGGGGCAGCCATGAGCAGGGCGTGGGAGGGGGAGGCAGGTCCAACAGACGGCATACTCCACACACACAGACACACATAAGCCCGCCGACACGGCGCATCGGCAAGACGCCACTTGAAACGAGGGCCAAGACAGATGATGACACGAGAGGAGACGAGGATGCAGATGCCCAGTCTTATCGGGGCGCAGGTGCGAAGTCCCATCCCCCCCCACAGCGTGAAGGAATTGCGGCGAGGCGCTATCGAGCCAGCAGGAGTTTCATAACGATACGGGTGCGCAGCCACTCTTCTCCTGGCACGCGCCCACGGCGTATAGCCGCGATGGCATCGGCATGAGCTGCCCGCTTTGGCTCGCCATCGCCACCCTGCAGGAGAGGCTAAGGCGCTCGCTCACAACGGCCGCGGTCAATTCAGACTTCCTGTGAAACTGTCAACCCGACGGGACCAACACTTTTCACGCTTATGCCCCATCCCCTCCACGATCGCCGCCGACTTCCCAACTTCCCCCCCTCCCAACGGCTGCGCTGCCTCTTTGCCAAACACGCGCCCGCCCAAGCGCGCGCTAGTTATCCCCCGACTTCGCTGCCCGAGGGCCAATAGACCGAGCGACTTCCGCCGCAGCTCCCGAGAGTGCTGGCAACGGTCCAATGGTCCGTGCCGATGTCGCTGCTGGTGCCAGTTGCCCGGATGCATTTCGTGCCCAGACTGCCGCGAGGGTGGCCGTGGCCCGCTCTGGCCGCGGCTGCGGCCGCCTCCGCGGCGGACGCCGTTGTCCTCGGCGCCGTGTTGGTGGCTGTCGGAGTTGGCCGCAGCGCCCTGCCGGAGTGCGTCGCTGCGATTTTCGAGGCAGGGATAGGAGGAGGAGGAGGAGGAGGAGGAGGAGGAGGAGGAGGAGGAGGAGGAGGAGGAGGAGGGAGAGGAGGGGAGGAGGGGAGGAGGGGGAGGAGGGGGGGAGGGGGAGGAGGGGGGGAGGGGGAGGAGGAGGAGGAGGAGGAGGAGGAGGAGGAGAGGAGGAGGAGGAGGAGGAGGAGGAGGAGGAGGAGGAAAGGAGGAGGAGAGGAGGAGGAAAGGAGGAGGGGAGGAGGAAGAGGAGGAGGAGGAGGGGAGGAGAAGGAGAAGGAGAAGAGGGGGGGAGTAGGGGGAGGAGGGGGGGAGGGGGAGGAGGGGAGGAGGGGGAGGAGGGGAGAGGAGGGGAGGAGGAGGAGGAGGAGGGAGAGGAGGAGGAGGAGGAGGAGGAGGAGGAGGAGGAGGAGGAGGAGGAGCAAAAGCAAGCAAGCAAAGACTCTCGGGTGCAGTTCGAAGCGTCGCATCGGAAACAAAACAATGCAGCACCTGAGTGGCGGCACTACCCGCAACTTCCCTCACCAGCGAGCGCTGCTGGTGGGGATACCACCTATGGCCTTCGACCCGCCCGCTGCTGGGATATGCCAGCTAGGGGGGTGATGGGCACCACTCCATTGAGACCCGAATTACCTACGGTGGCCGAGGACGCCTCGAACGTGGGGAACGACGAGGCATCGGCACAAAGGACTCCGACAGCTCGCGAATCAGTCGCAGCCCAGGGGGAGGCGAGGGAGACTCGGAAGGAGAAGAAATCGAAGCGAAACAACCTCGAGCAACCAACTCGGCGAGACGCTGACTACGAGCAAGCTTCGGGTGGAGCATAGAAGCCCTCGGCGAGACACGGCTGATGTGAACAGGTCCCCTGACTCCCCCCCTCAGTCCTAGACAGAATGTTGGCTTCAGAATTCTGGAGCACCACTGGAACGGGGCCTGGTACATCACCGACGGGTGGAAACACGCCTTCTGGGGGTACATCAGCAGCATGGGGGGGGCACCTATATCAGAAGATATCTTATCAGCCAAAGCTCCAGAGGACTGCTGACTAACCGCACTTCCATCACAATAGACACCCGTCAAAAAAATACCTGCACCACCAGGAGACCCCCCAAGATCACCAGAGGTATTCTTACATGGGCATCCCATTACCACCAGAGAGCTGAGGACCAATCGAATTCCCTTGCGCGAGCTCTCAATCCTCCTCCCTCTCCTTCCTCTTGCCCTCGCCCAGCTTCACGAGCAGGCGAGACGCCCCGCGGCGCCACGAGCTTCACGAGCGCCACGGGGCGCTGGGCGCCGCCTGCGCCCGGCCCCGAGCCCCACGAGGTGCATGATCCGAGTCTTCTCCGGTGGCTCGACCTCCGAGCCCACCGCGAGGGCGAGACGCATCCGCTCGTCTTGTGGAGGACGATCAATGGAGCGGAAGCGTGCTGCCAAATAATTTTCAGATGTCCAAAACATGTGTTAAACATGCTTGAAACATGTAAAAAACACATGCTTAGAACGTGTTTAGAACATGTCTCCGACATTCAAAACACATTTTAAATTCAGTGACCGGGCTCTTAGGGTGTCCGTTGTCGTGGCATCCACAATGCTCGCCCTTCGATTCGACCTCACGGGTCTGCCGAACGCGGCGGTGACGCACGTGCTCTCCCAGCGGCACAGGCACCAGCACCTCACCCAGGTACTGGTCGATCCCCTTGCGGCAGTCTGCTGGGCACTGGGGGTCGGTCCCGATCGCCTGGAGAATGGCGCTCCAGCTCTGAACGTAAGGGGGCCCGAGAGACGCAGGATCCTCGGTCTCGGCTTTGCGCCCCTGGACCTCGGCGTGGTAGGTCTGGCCTGCTCATCGCCCCGCCCGCGTCGGGACTTGGTCTGCCTGGGCGAAAAAGTGATGCACACGACTCCGCGCACGTCTCTGAGCTCGGCGCTGCTGGCCAGGCTCAGCTTGGTAAGAATGGCCACCAGCTGACGCGAGATGTCCCCTCCCCTGGCTCGAGCGGCGGCCACGACATTGGCCTTCTTGCTGCTGCTCTCGTCGTCACCGTCGACCTTCGCGATTTTTGCCATCCAGGCGGGGGCTTCCCCCATCGGCGGCAACAGGTGGAGCCGGGAGGGGACAAGGATGCAGATGAGTGGTGAGGTGCTCTTGCAAAGCCTGAAACGAGCCCGCGGCCACGTCACAAAGAGGACACTGGAAGGTAGGTGGAGGAACAATAAATGCGAAACTCCTCGCGGCATTGTACCGGCAGAACCCTCGAGCACACGAAAGCACCAAGTGTCGTCTACATGTAACATGGGGAATGAACATGATGTGGCATACAGGACGCTGGCTTCTAAGAGCAATGATATGAGGGATCATTCGATGATCTCGCCGTTCTATGATGTGTGTGTGTGTACCGGCCGTCGGCCTGGAAGAACAGCATTACAAGCCGTCCCATCTTTACAGGTAAGCTGACAAAGATGAGCGCCCTCACACCCAAACACAAGTGCAGGAAGCTCTGAAGAGTCCCCTGGCACCTGGCACGAGAGACCCGCATAATCCTGCGCCCGTGACGGTGCGACCGAAACCGAATAACACCTGCTCCTCCATTGCCGTACGTCAATACGTCGGAAATCGGACCGCGCCTCCTCATCCCGAATCAGCATAAGAAAGCGACCGTCTAGATACTCAAGTAGCGCCCCTCCCCTCGTTCAACGCGTGCAGGGCCTCCAGATCCTCCCAGAACCTCCGAGCCCAGGGGTGTGCCTCTGCCGCCAGACGACCAGAGAGGGTCAGCACATGATATATGGCACCTATCGCCTCCGCCAAAAGTTCCAAACAGAGCCCCAATCACGTGCGCATGCTCCCGAGGATGACCTACCAGCTCCTGGAGTAGACGTAAGTGGCGAATACGTGCCTCGAGATCAAGAGGTACCAGACGCCACCATTTTAGAACCTCAGCGTTTGCGAGAGAACGAGGGTCGTCACGATCACAGGCAGCACCACACATGGCTTCGCGTGAGCAGGAGGCCACCACACTCGTGAGCTTCGCAAAATCAGCGTTGGACGGCAAGTCGGCCTCCAGCCCAGACAGAGCAGCATTGCAAACTTTGCACAGCAACATGCACCGTCGAAATCGATGCGGCACCCCTCCAAGATGCCAAAAGGAACCAAGATAATGCCAGCCAGCACGTGCAGCAGCCACTCTTGTCTTGATCTCTTAACCGACATTGAGTGACGACGTCCCCATCATGGCCCCGAGACTCTTGACCAGCTGCGACGGCTTCCCAGGAAATTTCACATCACCATAACGAAAAGCCATATACGCGAACCCAACTCCACCTCCAAAGAAGCTTAAGAGAGTATCCCGTTTTTGTTAGGTTCTGTCTATACCCAGCGGGGCCTAGGCATTCATCCAAGTTCTGGTTCGAGTAGGAGCTTGCAATGGTAAGAGAGGCAGCAGACGTAGAGCGTCCACCTACAAATTTCTTCGTGAGATCATCTGAGTACTTCGTGGGCGAGATGCCGACGGCTTCTCCTCCCACAGGCGAGCGAACGACGAGCTGGTCGACATACGGGTCCCACCCTCTTTGCTTTCCTTGCCACTCCGCGACGACGGGGTCGAACGTGTGCACGAAGTTGCGAACCGCGAGCCCGTCCCCCATCAATCCCCCATTCCCAGGTCTGAGTGTGATGTCGCGATCACACCCTGCACTGCAAGAGTAACCGTAGCTCGTTGAAATTACTCACGTCCAAGCGACTCAGGGCCAGAAGGAAACATCTGATGCATAACGCCACGCATGCACACCCAGCTACTCGACGAGAAAGCGTTAGCCAGGTCGTGGCAAGTTGTAATGTGAGACATGCCAGAATCCCGCAACTCCAAGACTGCAATGTGTTGTACCAGCAAGGCCTCTTCTCACCGATGCCGTGGTACATCACTATGATCTGCATAACCGTACTGCCCAGGGTCCCGTTGATTCATGAGCCCAGACATCCAAAGCTTTCCAAGAGGATCCAAGAGGTGAATCCAGCGAGTACGATGATCTTTTCTGGGAAGGGGTATCCCACGACTACGATGCCATCGGATAGGTGTGGTCCCACAGCTCCGAATCCTATGAAGCCCGGCTTTCAAGGTATTCCAAAAGCCTTCGGGAACAGGAGGTTTGATTGGGCTGCCTAGTCCACGTCCTCTCCTGCTGAGCCTACGTTGCGGATGCCTCGAGAGAAGGGGCCTTTTCTGGGACCGCGCGACATTTGCCAGCACGGAGAAGCCCTTTCCGAATTCCCACAAGATCAGCTTGCGCACATAGGTTATCCTCCTGGGAGGGATCTCTCGCCCAAGGAGCAGCATACCGGCCAGCGTCACGAAATGAATCCCATTGTTCAACCTCACAAGCTTGCATTTCCCCATCAGCCCCAGCACGAGAAAATTGATGAAGTAAAACCTCGGAACTCCCCACAACGCCTCGGGCCCCAGCATAATCACAATGTTTTCGGTCCGAACTTGCTCCCTGATGCTTGCCGTGAGAGGCGCGCAACTTCAGCCAGTCGCCGATGTCGCCACAACCTCGGCTCGATACTCTTCTCGCTGCCTACGAA